TGCAGCAGCAGCAGCAGCAGCTTGCAGCCTCACAAATTGCATCCTCTGTTCAAGTGCCATTCAGCACAGAACAAAAGAGTCCTGTCTCACCACCGTGCTCTGAGATCTGTTATCTCTGAAAATCCTGCTCTCAAGTGCGGGCTGGAAAGTAAGACTTACTGAGACCGTTCTTCAGTTTATGGCAGTTTTTGACATAACATTATGGAATGTTGTAGGCCTCCCTATAGGTAGGGACTAGATTCTTTGTGAAGAAGCAATTTTTCAATTACACATAATTAATAGTAATTACCCTCTATCTTCAGAGACCAGAACAAAGAATGCATCTTAACATCCCTGTTAAGGAAGTATTAAATATATGGGGGTTTTACACAGCAGATTATGTGTAATTTATGTGGCCTGCTGTTCAGTCTGTGTTCCCTAATGCAAAAAGGGAAAACAGAATCCTGAACTATGTAAACTAATATTCTAGTCTTTGCCTTAGTTTAATGAACTAGTTTGAAAACAGCTGTTTGCTTCTTGCAGCAGCTTGCTGCAAATGAAATGTGGGCTGCCTACAGAGTTCTCCTATATAGAACCAGTTTTACTATACTGGATAATAAACAACATCCAAGTGAACATTTTACTAATTTTTAACGTGCATCTGTGAGTAAAGTATTTGCAGTTATTCCCAGAAGAAAATAAAACTTGGAAATTTAGGGCCAGCATATATACAAAAATCAAGGAAACATGAATTTACTGTTTTGATCCTAAGCGAAACCAGGACAGCGAGTTGTCCAAGACACACTGCAAGCCACTGCAAGAGGCAGAAAGAGAATTTGCTTCAAATGCACGGTTTTACAAGACAAATATTCCACGTGGCAGGATGACAGCAAAGATGAGGGCAGCGCTGCTGGCACACGCGTGGCAGCTCCAGCTGACAGACTGGCCCCTGGCAGCCTGGGTGCCCAGAAAGGTTGTGATTAGTGATTACATGTTTATGTGCTAAAAAAGGAGCTTTTATTCTTATGTGCATTGATCTGAGGGGTCCTGAGCTCAAAAGGTGGGAGTAGACAGATGCAAAAGATGGGGGATTAAAAAGAAAGGGACTGAAGGGAGAATGTCCCAAATGTTAACTGAAAGCATCTGCATGAAAGGCTCCAGGCCAACATGCTCAGAGAATGCACTCTTCTGTCTCAGTGACCTTGTGAAGATAAACTGAACAAAAAGCTTCAGGCAACATCAGACAGAGGATTTAAGAAGCAGTTTTAATTTTAGCCAGATTGCTCTGTATTTTTGACTGCAGGGTTATCTGGGGATGCAGTGTGCACTCAGTGGAACAAAATGTAGCTGTCACCCCCAACTCTGATACTGCACCTGATTGCAAATTCAATTCTGTGCTTCCACAGGGAAGCAAAAATCATGTTTTTGGCTATGCAGGGAAGATCAAATGGTGGTATCACAAGGATGGAGTACCAGTGCATCCTAATTTTACTCCACAACATAATTACTTGCCTACATTATGCATGGGCAACATACAAGACCTACCTTCCAATACAATATGCACTAATACAATGGTTCCCTCCACTCACATTATGTCCTTGCTCTGTACCTCCAGACTGACAACGATTTACTATGAATAAACTGTTTAATCCCCCTACACTTCAGTTTCCTCATCTGTAAAATGGAAACATCCTACCTAAAGAGTGCAACAATTCACTAACTGACATACAGTATGTTTTTTCAATGAACACATTTGCTGGTAATTTTAATGATAGCAGATACATACACACTCTAAGAGCTGGCTGAATACAACAAAACATATGAATTAATCATGATGTCTGTTGCAGCTTATTAGCAGAATTAATTCCACACAATACAAATGCAATGTAACCCACAATCTGGAGATTCCAAATGCCATATAAATCTAAAATAAGAGTCTGTCTTCAAGCCTGTAGTACAGTGTTAAATCATAAACTAAAATGGTAATAAACCCAACCCAGACTGATTTGGAGTAATTCCTCTACAGGTACACTACCACACACAACAAACACAAGCTGGGAGAACAAGATCTCAGTATTCCTCCTGCACCTTTCTCACAGCACCACTTTACTGGACAATCATTGATGTACACTTAAAGCTGATAAAGAACCTTCTATTCAATGTTCTCAAACTGCTTTACAAATTGCCTCTAACATGTATAGACGGTGCACATTATCTCCCCTGTCCTCACATACTCTCTTCTCCGTAATTTCTATCTGATAAGGTATCCTGAGGCCACATTGTCTCTCCAAGTCTGCAGGAGAGACATCTATCCTCTCTCTTGGCAAGTCTCTTGAGCCACTCTTCAATTTAAATAGCATTTTCTGATTTTTTTCTCTCTCAGATCTTTTCTTAGGAGACAGTTCTCTCCCACCTTGACTGGCTAACTCACCATCACTTGCAGCAGTTTCTTGAATCACTGACACTGGAATCAATACAGCAAAGCCGGCAGGGGATGGGAGTGAGGAGGTGGGGAAACAAACATGAAGCTGTTGTAACCTTTTAGTCCTGCGCTGTCAGCTCAGCACCTACTGATGCCTGACTGCACTGACATGCCTTGTACTAACACAGGCAGTGACTGCACGGGGAGCAGTGGTGGCTCAGATCTCCTCCCTGCATCCTCCAAACCAACAACAGGGAACTAAAGACAATACCCTACATGAAATGAAGCAGGACAGAGCTCTCTCACAACACTGCCCTCTCTTTGCACCGTGTCACTCCGAATCAACCTTCTGGACCGAAAACAGAGGCCTTCGCTATACATAAGGTCCAGCCCATAGCATGCACAGCGCACATGTCCTATTGGATTACAGGGCAGAGTGCACTCACATGGCCTGCTTGTCAGAGCCCCAACCTGCCTCTGCAAAAAGAAGGAAACAAGGGAGGGCATGAACAAGAGTAACCCAAGCAGCACAGGGCTACTTGAGACCAGCTAAAAGGCAGGATGGGGGATGCCACTACAAAGACAGGGGCAGCAGGCAAACACACCTTGACAAGCACTCTGGAAGGCTAAAAGCCAAGACGTCACCCCACAAAGAAAATACATGGGAATATTCATAGACTCTGCTATTGTCCAAAAAAGCAAGAAGAGTTTATCACTTAGGAGCTCACTGTATTGACAGCTGGAACAGATGACAGCTGGATCCCAGTTTGGATGCTAAAACACACAGCAGTAGAGCAGATCAATACAGGGCAGCATCTCACATTGGGAAAACACTTCTATCTGCACCGTTCTCAGAAACCAACAAACTTCCCCCAGTCCCTTCCTTCATGGCCCATGTGAAAAAGTCTCTTGCGAAGCTCATACCAGATTTGATGTGCTTTATCATACAATCACAGAATGGTTTGGGTTGGAAAGGACCTTAAGATCATCCAGTTCCAACCCCCCTGCCATGGGCAGGGACACCTCACACTAAACCATGGCACCCAAGGCTCTGTCCAACCTGGCCTTGAACACTGCCAGGGATGGAGCACTCACAACCTCCCTGGGCAACCCATTTCAGTGCCTCACCACCCTAACAGGAAAGAATTTCCTCCTTATATCCAATCTAAACTTCCCCTGTTTAAGTTTTAACCCGTTACCCCTTGTCCTGTCACTACAGTCTCTAATGAAGAGTCCCTCCCTAGCATCCCTGTAAGCCCCCTTCAGATACTGGAAGGCTGCTATGAGGTCTCCACGCAGCCTTCTCTTCTCCAGGCTGAACAGCCCCAACTTTCTCAGCCTGTCTTCATACAGGAGGTGCTCCAGTCCCCTGATCATCCTCATGGCCTCTTCCGTACTTGTTCCAACAGTTCCATGTCCTTTTTATGTTGTCCTTTTTATGTTATCCCCAGGCAACTCATATTCTGCAGTTCTCAGAAAAACGTGTCTCAAAAATGGGATCGCAGGTGACAGAGAGAGGAGATAACAGAGAAAGAGCAGCGGAACAGGCATCTGTTTCAGAGGGCAGGAGTTTATCACCCAGGACAGGGTTTCCACTGGGTTTATCACCGCTCTCTCTGTCTAGAGTTAGGGTCATTAAAGGAGATGTTTCCACTCTGAATTAGCAATGAGCTCCCACTTTAAATTAAACTCAATTTAAGTATAATGCCTCAGCACTCCTGTGTGGTTTGGCTCCGGGGACCTCGGTGGAAGCGTTCCTCCCGTGCTCTCTCTCCCCTCTCACATTCAGGTGCCCACCTCCTGTCTTTTCCTTACTCCCATTCCCCTCTCCCCCGTTTCTTCTTTCCAAAGAGCACTCCCTGCTCCCTCCGACCATATCAGAAGATTACAGCTTTGAAACCGACTGCTGTACGGAGCTCTGCTCCGCAATGCTCTCAGCTGTTTCCATGTGTTAGACAGTCCGTACATACCCCGAGGCACCCCGTACCTGGAGCCTGAGGAGCTATGGGCACTGGAGAGCAGTTTTGTCAGGCGGCGAAGGTGGAGCGCAGGGCTGGCACGGGACGCTCTGCTCAAGCCCTCCACCTCCCGCAGCAGGCGGGTGCCGCTCCGCAGAGCCTTCCCGCGGCTCCCCTCGCACGAAGCAGCGGTGTGAGGGCCGGACGTGCCGCCTCCCTCACGCCGGCTCTCCGGCACCAGGCAAAGCGGGGCTTGAGGCGGGCTGAAGCACCACAGCGAGAGGAGCTCAATGCGGGCCCCCTCAGGCGCGGGCCCCCTCAGGCGCGGGCCCCCTCAGGCGCGGGCCCCCTCAGGCGCGGGCCCCCTCAGGCGCGGGCCCCCTCAGGCGCGGGCCCCCTCAGGCGCGGGCCCCCTCAGGCGCGGGCCCCCTCAGGCGCGGGCCCCCTCAGGCGCGGGCCCCCTCAGGCGCGGGCCCCCTCAGGCGCGGGCCGCGAGCGCCCCCGCGCGGAGGGCGCGGGAAGGCGGCGGGGTCGCTGCACGCGCAGCCCCGGCAGACCGGCCGGCGGCTCGCGGGGGGGGGGGGGGGGGAAACTGGAACAGCGCGCATGCGCACGCTCTGCCGCCGGCTGATGGAGGAAGGTGGGCTTGGGAAGTCCTCCCTCTGTCCCCGCCTTTACACCACGGCGATTGGCTGCAGTGCGAGGGAGCGCCTCGCCCATTGGCTGGAGCCGCGTCAGCGCGCACCGGGCGCCGCCGCCGCCATGGTTCGGTTCAAGAACAGGTGAGTTCGGAGGCGCCCCCGCGGGCCGGGCCGGGCCGTGGCGCTGACGCCGCGCTCCCTCCGCTCCGCTCCGCTGCAGGTACGTGCTGTGCGAGGTGGTGTCGGAGGACCCGCAGTGCCGGCAGTGCATCGAGGACCGCGCCGTGGGCCTCGCCGTGAGGGACGCCATCGGCAGGGTGCACGGGGACTTCGGGCTGGCCTGCTGCTCCATCTCCTTCACAGGTGCCGCGGGGCGCTCGGGGCGGGAGGCGGCTCCTCTGGGGAGCGCGGGGGTCCGGGCTCACGGCCGCGTGTGTGCCCTGCAGTGAAGTACCTGAACGCCTACACCGGGACCGTGCTGCTGCGCTGCCGCAAGGACTCGTACCGGCTGCTCTGCTCCGCGCTCCCCTTCGTGAGGCAGCTGGAGAGCCGCAACCAGCGGTACCCCTGCTTCCTCAACACGCTGCACGTCGGAGGTCAGCCTCAGCCCCCCCAGGCACGGGTGCCTGCAGGGAGCCCGTGGAGCTTAACCGCGCCTTCCAGCCATTCTAGCGTGGGAGAAGCCCCTCTACCTGCTATGGTGCCATGGGCACACCACCCGCAACCCTAACTTAACTTCCAGCACACCTAAGAAAGGAACAGGCAGCAGTATTTCTGTGAAACCCTCACTAGCTCTCCTCGAATCTTCCTTGCATTGAACACAAAACCAGAGCAGCAAGTACTCCATTATTTTCTTTTAAAAGGTGTATTTTCAAAATATAGAATTGTCCATGTCCCAGAAATTAACCACTTAGAGCAAATGACAAGCACCATATGTTAGAAGTTCTTATTCCCCCACTTAACAGTGAGGAAGTGAAGTCTACAGTCCCTTCTTAGCACTGACATTAATAAAGTTGGTGCCAGGGGATACCTGTCACTTGACGGAATAAGCTTTGGAAAACATACTAGCAGCTCTGAACCACTTGGGCTTGTAGACTGTTATAGATTGTTCTTCTGATTCCTACAGGTACCATCAGAACATGTCAGAAATTCCTAATTGAGTATAACAGAAGACAGCTGCTGCTGTTGCTGCAAAGCTGTACAAACGAAGGTGAGTTCCTGCAGCCTCAAGTCCTGGGGGGTTTGTAGGATATGCTGGGCTACTTCTGCATTCTTGACCTAAGGACTACTCCTTTCTTTAGAAGTTGAGAATAGTCCAGTGTATGTGAAGAGATCAAATATTGAGCCTGCGTTGCTGTCTTTATTGCAGAGGAAAGACGGTGTGTACAGAAGTCCCTGTTGAGCTGTTCCCTTACAGAAGAGCCATGTCTAAGTGGAAATGATGATGGCACAGAGACAGACTGAACATTACTTGTTACTGCTCATCTGTGTCCTGTACTTGTGTGATCAAGTTATCCTCAGAGTTAAGCAAAGCAAAGGACGGAAAAGGCACCTGTTCATATTCAGACTTCATCCCCCTATTCTAAGTGTTTTTAGATAAATTAAAATAAAATAGTTTTTACTTAAGTAAGCTACTTGCTTGTTTCACTTGAGTCAGAATCAGGTGCACTCCAAAGGGAGTGTAGCAGCCCAATGTGATCTTCATGCTGAGGTAATAGTGAGTGTTAGGCAGTTGGCATAAACAAGGAATTTAGTTATTCTTCAGTACAAAAAAAGCATTAACACCTAACTCTCTTTAGTTTCAAGTGCATGTTATCCACAGGGTTATCCATTGCTTTGAGTTACAAAAGCATCAGTTGTTACACAGGAGCAGAGATCACACAGAGCCCAAGGCAGAGCTGTAATGCTCAGCTCCAACCCATTATAGAACTCATAGGTACAAGTACTGCTTAGATATTTATTATGTTTACACCAATCAGTTACAAGAAAGTAGCATTGCTGGTATTATCTCTTGAATCCATAGGAAAACAAGATACAACTTGAAGATGCTGTCCTGTGGAGACTGCACCTGCAGAAGAGACAGTCTTCCTTGCCCACATCATTTCCCTTGCTCTAGTGCCTGTGAGATGGGGAGGCAAGTTACACCAGCTCCAGTTACTCTGTCCCCCTTCCAATGCAAAGAAAAGTTGACTATGAATGTGCAGAGATAACAGAACACAACAGATACTGGTTAGACACTAAGTAGTTACTCCTGTTCCATGGCTTAAAATGACTAGTACAAATAGGAACCCAATGGTACTGTGAATGCAGTTAACTGCATACTTGAATCTTACTTGGTTGCTTTCTCTGCCCTCACCAAGATTTTCCAAGAGCACTTAAAGCATTAACAGCAAGATGTGTTACCACTTGCATCTTGTCTCAGTTTCTGTGCAGTCTCTTGCCAAGTTGTGCTGTCTTTCCATCCAGTGTAGTTAATTGTGACCAAGCGTGAAGTCAAGCTGCTTTCAAATAATGGTTTGCAGGTGCTTCCTCCATCCTCCTGTAGCAGTTGAAATATTCTTTACCTCTCCCCCTTCTTTCTGGTTCACAGCCACATGGAGAGTTTTGTGAAGTATACTCTGCAGTACTGGCTTCCATGCACACATGCTTAAGTTCCTCAAGGAAGCTCTGGTATAACTGGGAGCCTATTGCTTAAAAATCAGTGTATTGACATAGAGCCCTTAAATAGAGACACAACCAATGATTGCCAGTGGTGTCTGTGACTCTTGGAGTCAGGTATCTAACACACTCGTCCTTTCTCAGATCAGTCTCAGTGTCAGAGGGAGGAGCACATCAGCTTTTTACAGCCTGTGCACATACACGCAGACCATGGGTGCAAGAGGGGCCAAAGAAAACAGAAGACACCATCAATCTCACGCTGTAAGTTACGTGGCACTTTACACCAGCTGCCTGGCACGAATTCTGTTGGTAGGAAGGCAAGATTTAAATCTGTGCAACTACATGTTCTTGTGCTCCATGTTGGTGTGACAGTTCAGCTCTAGCTCAGGAAGTGTACAGTACTCTAAGTGCATGTGCGTATGATTTATTGCAACTGTTGGCCTTGACTGGTACATGACACCTAAAGTTCATTTTATTCAACAAAATCCACACCACTGAACTCATAAGCTCAAATCAAACCACAAGCAGTGCAGAATGTGACCACCCAAAGAAAGAGCAGGGAGGGGTCCAGAAGAGACATGGTTATAGCCTGAGGTGCTTAGTGCAGACCAACTTAACATCCCAGAACCAAGCAGATAGAGGCCCTTACCCCAGTACAAAGAACCCAGTTTCTTGCTGGGGGATAGAAGTTAACTAGACTCCAGCTATCAGTTGTTCTTCCAATTCCAGAGCAGTTAGTGTCCAAACATCATTCAGGTAGTTACAAGAGCCCTAGGGTGGAGTGTTTATTCTAGATGATCAGGTTACAAAGAATGTGCAGCCCATAGTTGGCAGAAAAGAGAAAAAATTAGCAGCCTCACTCACCCACATTAAACCAGAGTTGAACAACTGAGAGAAGCCAGGAGGTGCCTTCCGCCACCAGCACCAGGACACTTTTCAAATACACAAATCCATCAAGAGTCACTTCAAAACCAAGCAGCCAAGTTCCGCTCTATGCTCACCTCAGCTTTACATCTTTCCAAGCCAGGAGAACAGGAGGAATTCTTGCTCTTTAGGAAAAGAACAGATAGTAGCAGCTAACACTCTAAAGCCAGTAAGCTCTTTTGCCCATTTCCAGTGCAGCAGAAAGCAGTTTCTCAAGAGAGCAATTTGACAGCTTTACTGAAACAGCACTGCTGTCACAGTCAGGTGAACTTTTGCCCATGAATACTTCTAAGGAAATAAAGGCTCTCTGCAACTTCACTTAGGTAGTATTGCAGTATTCTGGCAGTGCCACACAGGTGTAAGACTTTCAGACTGCCTGTTAGGCCAAAAGAACCAACCTGTCACACACTAGAGACCTTGGCTGATTTGTCTCTGGGTTGTTTCTTTCGAAACTTTGTTTCAGTATGAACTGATTAAGCAGTTGGAATCAAAAGGTCTTACTTCAACATATCCTGTTCATGGTTTCCTCCTGAACCCCCTAGAAGCCCCAGAAACACAAGTTTAGTCTGTTCAAATTTAAATACTTAAACTATAGCAGCAAAACAAAGCAAAATGAAAAGAAAACCAGGAGAGGAAACTTCTTGTGAACAGCAGAATTACTTTGTGTGAACAACAGAGGTGCTGAACAATAGCTTCTGCTTCTGTTTCTTTCTTTTCTTGCCTCCCTTTTCCTCTGTGAAGAATCAAAATGATACTGTCATTCTTCTCGTGGAACAGGAACATCACACAGAAATGATAAGCAGTCTTCCCTAGCCTAAATGACTCCTACAGGTCTATGACACTTACTATCAACTCATTGAGCACCAGGTAGCTCAACACAAAAATGACTGCAGACAAAAAAAGTGAGACACCATAACACTTAATCCACACCTATAAACATGCCCAATTCTAAAGCTGCTGTTGCAACAGCAGATCCTACGAATGCAAGTGTGCAGCAGTTTGCCTTGCAGACAAGTACAGCTTTCATCCATGTCCAAAAACCACTACAACTGGAGCCAAGACTCAACCTCACTGAAACTCCTAGGCCCTTCCGTCCAACTCTCTTCATCATTCAGTGCAGCCCCAAATATAAGCCAGAGCTAAACATCAGAACTGAGCATTAGAAATGAGTTTTATCAGCCAGCAATTGGCTTGGAGGTTTAAGTTCATCCCAATTTGAAATTTCAGTCAAACTAAAGTGGTTAAGCTTAAGTTCAGCAGCTCAGGTATTTGTAGTTTAAAATTGCATAACCGAAACCTCCTTAAGACAACGCTTACATTAAGATCTAGTAAAGACATGGCATACAGGATTGCCAAAAGCCATCTTTGTCCTAGCAGGATTCTCTGCTAGTCAGAGATCTCAACTCTCACTAGGGGGCTGCTTTAAACTAACAGAAGCCCTAGTCAAGCTGTTCAGAAACCACCATCTGCCAATTTTCAGCCCTGTTCTGTGCCCAATTTTCGGTCCCTAAAGTTGCTGCTCTCACTTCTCCCACAGGAAGAAGGGGAAATACTCTGGTTTTTCACTCCCCTCCCCATTTTACCTGACAAATGAGCAGCTGTGGACGGTTTGTCCAGTTTCAGGAGGGCTGCCTCAATTGCTTGGCTGAAGGAGTTCTGGAAGCTGGGCACAGGTATGCGGTCAGAGCTGTCGCTTTCTCCATCACTATCCACCGGCACAGAGAGGGCCAGAGTGTTCTCATCTGAAAGAGGGAAAGTGCCTTGAGAGGCAGAAGGCTGTATAAAACATGTGCAGTGCAAATGTGCCTCCACACTCCAGATGTTTCTTGTGAAGTGACAAGTTCTCATAGATTTAGATTCATGGTAAAGAACCTGAAACAGTAATACCAAATCTTCTCACCTCTTGTCTTCGGAGCAGGTTTGGGCCACGTTTCTGGTTTTGCCTTTCCAACTCTCAACATCTATCAAAGAAGTTGTAAGATATTATTAAATCCCATGTACTAAACCAATTCTGCATACCCCGTAAGTGGAAAAAAAAAAGATACAGGAACCCCCTGAAGCACTCAAACCCTATGCTATCTCCATAAGATTTATCCCACACTGTTTTTGTGGGGGAAGCAATTTTGTTCTCAGACTAATCCTCAACTAAGACATAAGCAATTCTGACAAGATTTACTCTGCTACATAGCTTACCTGGGCAAAGGAAGGGAAGGGAGACTCCTCTTCCAAACTCCCACAGAGCAAAGGGCTGACCTGGCTGGCAGCAGGTGACAGTGGAGTTGGAATAGACTCTACAGAGAAAGCAGCAGGTAATTAAAGACAGCTGCATTTGCCAGAGACACTCATTCTGCTGTTTATCAGGGTGAAGTAGAAATAAAGCTTTATCTTATGTAATTAGCCAGTTCTCTCATCAGTTCCATCCATCAGTCACCCAGTGGGACCTCCTAAATTTTCTCAATATTCTTATTTAAAGAAGATTTAATGCAAGATAAAATGCTTGGTAAAGCATCACTGGACAACAGCCTGAGTGCTCATCAGTTATGTTTGATTTCAGTGGGGAAGATGGAGAGGATAGAAAGCAAACATGCCAGTAGTGTTCTCCTGGCATACACACTTGTCTTTCCTTTTGGGGAAACTTTTTTCCTTTCTTTTATTCTGCCTTAGCAAAGATTTAAAAGATGGGGTAACTACAGTGCAGATCTCTTATTGCCACTGAAGCAGACGTAGTAAAAAGCAGACAAAGGACCAGAATGTTTCTTAGCTGTGTCAGCCTTTTGTGCGTGATCTTACAAGCAAAACAGGAATGTCTTTGATCAGCATTTAAGAAAGTTTAGTGTGATGACCTAAGCAGTAGAACCCAAAAGAACAGTCAAGAGCTGGATGCGACGTGTTTTTCCAGATGCTCACCTGTCTGATACACCGGGCTTCTGCCAAGAGGAGACAGACAGAAGCTCCGATGATCAATGCTGGTAGTTTCTCTGGGACAAGAGGTAAAAGCAGGGAACTGCTGCAGATTCTCTAAAGCAATATGGACCTCTGGATCTAGAAGAGGTGTTAAATTAAAGCATTACACAGTGTGGAGGACTGTCAATATGCAAGTGCTTCAGGAATCTAGGAGGTGCCAAGTCAATTTTCTTTCCACCCTCTATTTTAGAGACCAGTACAAGCCCTGCTGCTGGATGGGAACAGTCCCTAGGCATCTTCTTGCCTTCTTCACTTTTCACACTATATTGCGATTACCATAAAAACAGCAACTAAGAATCCTGAGACCTATGTACACCACAGAGATAGCTGCGCCCCCAAATGCCCTGTCTCCCCCACAATGTGCAAGTATGCAGCATGATATCACTTAACACCCTGACTAAAACAGCTTCTATTTTTCACTCTGCAGACATTGTTTCTAATCCCTTGTAATTTTTTTCTAAGCACACACTACAAACTAAAGGCCTTAGAGTTCATCCTGCACCAGCTCAGCACCTAAAGATGACAGGAAATCCACCACTTATGCACAAGCACCACTTACATTTGCCCTGTTTCTTGTTTTCTTCTATCTCAATTCTGCGTTCACGTCGCCGTTCATCACGAGCTTTCTTCTGCCGCAGACGTTTCCTCTTTTCAAGGTCATCTAGAATCAATGCACATCAGTGGGTATCAAAAACCCCCACACTGATACCTTGGCAATATTTTCTCCAGCTCTGAGAACAACATATTCAGCTATAGCACATTAGTAACAAAATATGGTTACAAACAACATATGCTCTTCCAAGCAGTCAGGCTTTTTTATTCTTCATGTAACTGTTGTCTACAAAATAGTGAATTGGGGTTGTTCTGTCTGGTAGTCATCAACAGTTGGTGCAAGAGGAGTAAAGCTGCTATGTATGTTCTTTTATATGCCATTAAGGGATAAGAATTACTTCACCTTCATGGATACATAGCGGAGCCAACTAAAAAGGCAGTACCAACCTGAAAACAACTCTAAAGTCTCCTTAGAGATGATGGGTGGCTTCAGAGCCAGTTCACAAATGCTGAACTCACAGGTGAGGGGCAAGTGACAGAGGTAGCGATGACGCTGTCTTATATCCTGATAAAAAAAGAGTAGAGATATCATCACAACAAGGTTGAGAAGCTTCCGTAGTGATGGGCAGCTAATGGAGACTGAACCCCCAACTTTCCACAAAATCAAATGGGAAAAAATAACAGCAGTGATGTAATAATCACTTTATAAATGATAAACACATGAGAGATGGGCTGGGTCAGGACCTAATGCTCCACCAACTACATCCTAATCATGTCTGGATGAAGTTACTCCACCTTGGTTACCAGTTTTCTTGTCGTTTCTTCCTTCTCACACCACTGGAATAGAATTCTTTATTACCAGTCTTCTGACATAATTATTTTTGCACTGGACCAAATGTACCTTTTACACTTCAACTATCTGGATCAATGACCACCAATTTGCTAGACTGAAACAAGCCAAGTTTTGTATTTTTCCACATGGGGTAAAAAACTTGAAGACAATTCCCTATCTCTGCATTCATTCCTACCTGGGCATATACTTTCTTAAAGATTAATTAAGAATTATGTACAGTTGTTACTGCACATGTCAGTTCTTACAGTTGTCGTTATCTGAGGTAACGGAATTCAAGACCCATCCCCTCTTCCAGAGCTTCAGTGGCTTAAGTACTTTCAGTGCCTCTATCTCAACCACTGAAGTTTCTGTCCATTCTCTTTATTTTCCTCTACCTCTGATGCTCAGAAACAACTGTTTGTCAAGACAGATGCAGAACACTTCATCACACTGAGAAAGATAACGATCTGTGTAGCTCAAGGTACTGTCCTATATGAGAAAAGGATTTACTTTTAAGACAGCTTTAACAACAAAGCAATCTTAAGCTTGCTATTCTCTTACCTCTAGAACTTCCTTCTAGGGAAAAAGAAAAAAAACAGACTGCAGCCTACTTACCAAAAGCAACATAAGGCACTGCACCTTACACAGACCCCCTTTCCAGGCTAGGGCGCCTCCCCATCCATAGTTGTTATTTACTGTTACTGAAGAAAACAAGTCTCATTCATCAGCTGCAATGATCAATCTGCTAAAACAATGGCCCTTAATTAATAAGAAGATAAAATAACTACCTCTGTCATTGAGTAGCCAGTTATCTCCACTACAGCTGCAGTTATCTTCTCTGGACTCTTCTCCAAGCTGCCGTATTCACGAACAAGACATCGAACATTCACTGGGTGAAGATACATACACTGCCCGTCCTCCGCTGCAAGAGAAGATACCATCACTTGTGCTTTGCCTTTTCATTTTCAGTACCCTTCTCCCCATCTTGATACATTCTCCAGTAACAAAATTAAAGCTCCTCTCTCAATTTCTGTGGGAATTCTATTTCACAGGGGTCTGCTGCATCTAATGAAGTGACAAACCTCTTCCTCAAGAGGGATCCCAAAGGAGGCAACTCTGCCCCCATGATTCCAGGATTTCATTGCACTGACCTTGATAGAAATAGTAAAAAGGAGAGTTGCTTAGGTGTCCACTGGTAACTGTATCTTTAGATTCTTGGCAGCACGTTTCAACTGGATTTGATTCTTCCATAGTATTTGTACCAGGATCCCCTACTATATCCACCTCAGGTACTTCCTCTTCATCCAGCACTGCCTCTTCTGCTTCCACCGGGGGCGAAAGGGAACTTGCCATTTCAGAGCAAGGCTCCACAAGCTCCTCATCAAAAGCAGAGAGATATTCCACACCACACTATCACAGCAGAGAGCATACAATTAGTAATACATCACCTCCTTCAAAAGATTATCATCTCTGCAGAAGTTTTTGGTGCCACTTCACCACAGACTGCAGAGTGAAGTGGTGGAAATAAGTATTAACAAGATCTGCCAGAACAGAGTTGTCACCCACCTTTTTCTCTTGGGAAACTGCAGGCTCCACAGCCTTGGAACTTTCTAGTACCAATTCTTCCACAGCTGCACTTATTCCAGCAATGCCATTGTTTTTACGCTGGTCAGCAGAGAGTGCTGTTTCTCGCTCCTCCAGGTCACCCAAAGAGAGAAAGTTTCAATTTGCTATTTAAGCCAGGAGACTATCACCATAGTCATTTTTAGCCTTGTCCTATAATTCAGGTTTTTACAGACCTTTAATTCATCTGTGACAAAGAGTGACCCTTGAAGTGAGGTCCTCTCCTTGTTACGGGAAAGCACACAGAGTGTAGTACACCTAATGGCTTTGAAAAGGAGTATTCTACAGATTTGCTTATGTCTGCTCAACAGATGTTACCCAAGAAATTGCTGGAGCTGAAAGGGTAACACATCTTCCTTTGAAAGCAGAACTCTACATGGAATGGAATGAATACCATTCACTAAAAAGCATTCTGTTCCGTTGTCTTGAACACCATGCTCCAAAGTCTACAGCTCCAAAGTCTAAAGCACCTGGGCTATAAAGTCTATAGCATCATCCAAGATTTACAATGTTGTTCTATGCAAACATCACCACCTTGCTAGTATGTATATTCTGGAGACCAGAATTACCATACACAAGCACTTATGCAGCAGAAAAGAATTGGTCAGTACCCAGCATACCTCTAAAACCAAAATTACTAAAGCCTCCAAAGAGGCTCTTACCTTCAGTTCCTGGATAGCTGCCTCAATAAAGCAAGCCTCTGGGGTGTGTTTTTCTTCCTCATACTGCTTTAGTAATGCTGTTTTCTCCTCCAGAATCACCAGCTGCAAGACCTGCTCCCTGGATGCCAGAAGCAGCTTTGAATACTGACTGTGATGGTCATCTGAAAAGAAGGAGCACCAAATCATTAATATCTGCAAAAATACTGCAACTGGAAAGCTCTGCAAAACTGATTTGGCTCAAACTAACCCATAAGCCCATATGTATTAAAAAAGAAAGTATACAACATTATTATGAGGGGTTTACAAGAAGCACAGCAGAAAGAGTAAGCTAAAGAACTGTAAGTTTAGCAAAAAATAGTCACCTTTGTTACTGGACAGCTTAACTATAAACTTCACAGCTACCACAGCGTCACATCCTAGTACAGTCCCTACAGTCACTGCTTCCCCAGGGTCCAACCTTGTCTATAGAACACCAAGTTAACACTGAATTTCCTGGGTTTAGAACGATCTCACATGCCTATTTGTTCTTTGGTTTATGAAAGGATTTAAAGTCCTTCCCTTTCAAAGGCCATGACACATGTAAGCACACCCGCTGTATGCTGGATACCCATCGTGTGCTCCGAGACTTGACTTTTTACAGAGAGCTTCAATGCACACAGCCCTTCATAAGTGTGACTGCAAAATGAAGGGAGCCAAGCCAGCCCACGAGCCAGCAATGGCAAGATAATTTCTTTAGTCACAAGAATTGCTGTGATACTAACAGATAAGATGATGATGTGTTAAGTCACATAACTTGATTGGAGAAAACTGAAGAAGTCAAGCAACAGATGTTTGGAATAGGTTTGCAATAATTTTCATTATTTTCCCATATCATTCACAGATTTTAGGTGATAAGTGAAGATGATGAAAACCTTGTTGAAAATTACATCCCTAGCATAGTTTATACAGAGACAGTTATTTTTGCTAAGCTGTACAATGAGGAGCCAGGAGAAATAAAAATGTTAAGGACACTGAAGAGCCAACAAAAGCAGCAAGAGTCACACCAATGACCCTACAACACAACACACAAACTCATAGCAATGACTGAGAAGGCAGGAGTCTGCAGTGCAGTAACCTGAAGGGAAATACCACACAAGTTAAAGCCTTACAGAAAACAAAGTGTAGGTAGAAAGCTTATTATTAACATGTGGTCACAAAGGTTTTCAGCTGCTAAACCCCATATTTTGTAGATTGGTTAAGGTGACAGCATGGCATTGCCATGATAAATTCTCTCTACACAAGCCCTAGTCACATGAAGAGTAGGAGGCCAACCACCAGTCCTCAGATACACTCACCTCCAAAGTAAACAGGCTGCACCACATCCATCCACTGAGATTTGGGCAGTGCTATAAGAACACCTTTCTCTCTTCTCATAAGTTGCATGGTAATGGTATCACCAATTGCATATTGACGTGTTTCCATAGCAACAACGCTGCAATGGAAGGAGGAAGTTAGTGGGGCAAACACATTTCAAAAGGATACATCATTCAATAAATACCAAGTCTCACCTCTTGAGATCCTTCTTGTGAACAGAGCTGTAACAAATAGGACATTTACTCCAGGTCTTTTCACTCAAGGAGAGATAGTGGAGGATACAGGCCCAACAAAAGATATGCCCACAGCGGGTAATCTTTGCTGCAGTTGGTGGGTACAGACATATGGGACAGGAGGGCACTTCATGGCTACAGATTCGCTGAAATGGCACATGAGAACAACAGCACAAGTTTTAGACTTGGAAATCAGCTCCTGTGCTACAGAATAAGCCACTGTAAGATCTACTCTAACAAATCAATCTTCCAGCTCTTTAGACTCTGCTTATTTACCAAGAAATTAAGTACACTGTGAACTAAGTAACACCTTCAGACTGCACATGGAACAGCCTTCAAAGCCACCCGTCTGGTATTCCTACTCTAATGACATTAAAAAAGTGACTCTTCTCAAGTTCCCAGTCCTGTATTCATCATCTCTTACGAGTTAGCAGCATCTTCTTCATCTGAATTCAGACGCTGAGAAGACAGCAAATGAGCTCTGCTGCCTCACTTACACAAGCAGACTTGTGCAGCTCTGTTCAACTGCGAGACTGAACTTACCTATTTCCATGAACATGTTAGTTCAGTCAGATGCTTTAGCATCTGTACGTTGCAGAGACATAACTGCCAAGCAAGCACCTAGACTTTTCATTTTTCTTGTAGTGTCAGGTCTCCTGCCTCCTCCCCACCTACACCATACACCAAGACTAGACTTGGCACATAATAAGTTTCTACTCAAGGCAACCCAAAGTTCTGACCATAATTCCCAAGAGATTTTCCATTTTGTTGCTAGGCAAGACAGGCCACCTATGCACAGAATAATTCTTCAAAATCCTACACTCTAGTCCTCTTCCATGGACTCATGCCCAAGTTTTCTGTTAATATCTCGATCACAAGGACTCTGTCTACAGAATGTCAGATACTATTTTTGATGAGCTCCCATCTGCGAAAGCAAGAAGAAGCTGCTAATTTTCCTAATAGATTTTAGCACTTCTCTTTTCCTGTCATGAAAGTATTTCATAATATATTCCATGACAGATCTTTCCCAGTATTGTGGGAGTGACAGAAGAGGCCTCAACTCAAAAACAGCTGAGTTTTATGTAACATCACAGAGAGAAAGAGGCAGTTAAAGACAGGGTGAGCTTCTTAATAAGAAGAAGATAAAAAAAAATCTAGCCCATCACAACTGACCACTTGCTCCACAAAGTCCCAGTTGACCAAGGTATCTGGATCAGCAAAGTGGACTGTGTAGTCCTGTTCTTCAGAGACAACAAACTGGCAGCTGGGGAAAGGCAAAGAGACAGATGATCCACTCAGTTGTTTCTAAAAATTCTTTGAGAACTATCCTATAGGATTCTCTGAGCTTCTTCGTTGTCCAGCAGGGAACTGCTGGGCACAGTAACTTCTATGAACAAAAACCAAAAGAGTTCAAGTCATAACCAGATTTCCAGAATACAGATGTGTCTGATTTCAGTTAGACACAATATCATCACATACTAACTACAGAATGAGCCAGGCAGAGTGGTTTTCCAAAAACTGTAAGAAACAGCCAGCTCCTTCCAGGATCTATTAAAAAAGAAAAAAGGGAATCCACAAGTGGAAAAAATATGGTCACAAAAACTACAGCTACTGGGATTCCTGCAAACAGACTTCACTACAACAAGCCACAAAACAATAGGGAAAAATCAGAAGCATCAATGCTGAAAATAGCTGGTTTTGTCTTTCCAATACAGGAAGTCCTGACTACGCTTCAAATTCCAGTGGAAGTGACCAGAACTTCCAGTCAAAAGCAGTTCTGCTCCTGGATTACAATACTGGTCATCATTTGGGTTATAATACGTACCTATGGGCCTGTGAAATAATCAGCAGTTTAAGAACTAAGACCCGTAGGAGTCATTGCTTCTGGGACTTACAGATTCAGATTAGCTTTCAGCCAGCAACTGCTACCCCAACCATCTCAGCATACTATTCTTTGGAAAAAAATGCTGTCTGCCATAAGGTCTACATTGGTCTTCCCTAACAGAGTGTCATAGTCCACAAGTGATGCTAGAAAACTAGAGCTGAAGGATAACTGTTTTGTATCTAAAGGACTCACTCCATCAGATACCTTGTAAATAGGTAAAGATGACAACTTTGATGTACTTTTATCCCTTTCAAGTATAGTCATTACCACTAAGAACACTTCAGAGAGGTAACTTCACCCTGGAAAAGTCAATACAAGTAGGGAAGGTCAAGCACAATTCCCTGGCTGATCACCCCTTACAGCTCAGTGTCTCTGGAGAAGTTTAAAAGCCCTGCTGGTCTTCCACTCACTTGGCCTGTAGGAAGAGCTCCTTGTTGAAAGGTTTATGTCCCCATTTGTTCCTTTTCCCCCAGTTGCCATGTCCATTCCCATCAAAATGGCCTGCTTGGCCACGGGGTTCAAAAGTGAAGTTCAGTAAGTGGTTCAGATTAATCTTCTTGGGACCAGAGAATTGGGCAGGGCTGAACTCTGCCCGCTGAGCCTCTGCTACCTAAGAGACAACAGCATTTATTAGAACTTGCTAGAATTTACTGCACAAGCATCAATACAAGCTGATACCCAGGCCCCATCAATGATTATGGACAGAGTATAGAGCATCCACTCACTCACCTGCTCCCATTCCAGTTCTGCAAATCAAGTAGTGCAGCGTTAGAAGTGCATGAGAACCTGAAAGTCAGAGCTGAGTGGTCTTACCCCACACTGATCAAAAGGAGGAAAGCATAAGAACAGCCCACATAAGGACAAGTAGAAGCTGGCAAAACATAGTAGTCAAGGTTACTAACAAAAGACAGCTGTTCAAATCCTGACAACATTCTTTTAGACAGCCAATAATACAAGTCTGATCACTATTTGCACAGACTGTTTTGGTTAGTTTTCACATCATTATGTGAAAAGCAAAGAATGAGAATTCAGCAGACAGCAGGTGATTTGTGACAGAGTCAGCAATTCAGGTGAGCAGAGCTGCTCATCCACTAAAACTGGAAAAGCAAAGTTCTCAATGAAAACCCACGAACAGTCTATACAGTATTTAGACCCATATCAGCATAAATGCCTCAATCTGGTTTTACTCCATCCTGACATCACCCAGGCCAATACAATTACTCTCCCAACACCACCATCACATGCAAAGTTGTACACTGCAGTGATCAGGCACAATCAATCTCCGGAGGGCAGACTCCATTTAGGAGCCTGGCTGACAGAGTCCCTTTGGAGGCAGTCCTGAAGGGCAAAGAGTCCAAGAAGGTCTGGGGCTTTAAGAAAACATTAAAAGCACAGGAGCAGGCCATCCACATATGCCAAAAGACAAGCCAGCCTGGCTGAACAGAGAGCTCTAGCTGGAACTCAGGACAAAATGAAGAGTTTATGGCCTTTGGAAGAAGGGGCACGCAACTCACAAGGACTAAAAGGATGCCATAAAGTTATGCAGGGAGAAAATTAGAAGGGCCAAAGTCCAACTAGAACTTAATCTGGGTACTGCTGTAAAAGAATAAAAATCATTCCTGTAACTATATTAGCAACAAAAGGAGGGCTAAGGAGAATCTCCATCTTCTACTGCATGTGGGGGGAAGCATAGTGACATGGGTGGTCCCAGCTGACTGGATATTAGCAAATGTGACACCCATCTATAAGAAGAGCAGGAAGCAGAACTATGGGGCTGTCAGTCTGACCTCAGTGACAGGGAAGGTTATGGAGCAGATCATCAGGACATCAGGATGACCTTATCGCTCTCTACAGCTACCTTAAAGGAGGCTGTACCAAGGTAGGTCTTGGTGTCTTCCCCCAAATAAAAAGTGATAAGGACAAGAACAAATAGCCTCAAGTTACACAAGGGGAGCTTTAGACTGGAGACTGGGAAAAATTTCTTCACCAAAAGGGTTGTCAAGCCTTGGAAAAGGCTGCCCAGGGAAGTGGTGGAGTCACCATCCCTGGAGGTATTTAATAGGCATGTTGATGTGGCACTTGGGACATGGTTTAGTGATGGCCTTGGCAGTGCTGGGTTAATGGCTGGACTCATTCTTAAAAGTCTTTGCCAGTCTAAACGATTCTGTGATTCTGATCACACCAAACTTAAAACCTAGAAATTGCATCGGCTAGATATTTTCATCAAGGACCTCTGTTTCAGGAGGTATGTACATGGCCTGTCTAGGCACCCATTCCTCAGATGGCATTTTTTACTGCAAATATCTCAGAGCAGAGAGCACTCCTCTTCTGTTGTTGGTTGTTGCCAAGTTGTTCTACTCACGCTCACTCTGGCATCTCAACGATGTTAGCACCTCTTATCGCTCTTTCCCTTCCCAGCCCAGGAGCTGAACACAGACCTATCTAGGCAGGTCAGAGTGATCCTCTTGTCCCAAGAAAGAAGGCCCTGGAGGCATGGCATTATGACTCTCACCTCATCTCGTCTTCCACCATTAGAAGAGCTAAAAAGTTTGCCACTTCCACCGTTACCTCCCCTTTGAGGAGGCATCTTATTAAAAGCTTTGCTTTTCTGTGAATTGGAGCGACGGGACTGACTGGAAAAGTTCTCATTTTTTGAATAGGAAGTTTCTCTTTTACGATTATAACGCTGTTTGGATCCATTGGCATTCTTTCCATCTAAAAGAAAAAGAAGAAACACAAGGATCAGACTGGTAGCCTCGGAGTTGTCCGCATGTACTGCACCTCTGCGACATGCTCACCTAGACCACTGCCCTGGGCCCTGGTTAGGCATCAAATCAGGATGTATCAGTTTCACCCCCTCAGGCCCTCAAACCATTTTATTCCTATCACTGCCCAAAAGAACTGGTCAAAGAGTATATAAAAAAAAAGGGATGTAGTTGCTGTGCTCCCTCTTTTAGTAGTGGTTGAGTTTTCTTTATCTAGGTTTGGAACTGCTGTCACCAGATTGTTGCCTGGTACATGGAGTGATAAACATCAACACCACATCTTCATGTCCCATCACAAAAATGGACTAGTTAACATTTTCCTTCTATTTTCTGAAAACACACATCACATCACATATTGTTCCTCTACATAAATATACTGTGTTTGTATATGTAAATATGCTCTATTTGTCTTGAAGTCTCCCACTTCACAAGACCCCATTGCCTGTTTTCACCCAGTTCTGCCTGCTGTGCTAAAAAGACCCAAACAAATCTACTTCTTTCACAAGGCCAACAAATGCTAATCGATCATGAAGCACCAAACCAATGCTCTGGCCTTGCAGGGGACATACCCAAGTACTAAGTCCACCAACCTATGCAACAGGAAATGTTTGCCCAAAAGTATTGCTAAACACACCACTGATCCTCATGTAGGACATAGAGATGAAACACAAAGCAAAATACTGCAGGAATGGAGCCAAGAGCAGGAAAACCAATCAGGCTCTTGAAAGGGGTTTCCTGTGTCTAAACAGCTGCTTCATGAGACTGCTAGAACAGAAAATTAATACATTAAGGTATTTCTACCAGTCTTAACACAAGATTGAAGTTGCCCCAAGGACACAACACACTTAACCCACCATTACCACCAACTGCCCTGAGTTTTATTTGTAGGAGAGGCAAGTTGATAAGCTTGGAAGCAAAAAGTCCACAGGCCTAACAAGATGTCTATCCACATCAGCCAGCCCCAAAGTCCCTCTGGATACTCAGTGAGCTATACACAAGCAGGAATGCCTCATGAAAAACAGCCAGACCCATTTTATAAAAACCTACAAGTTTCCCCACCTCAGAGCCCTCCACACCCCTTAACAGAAATCTCACATGGCAGGCAAACACCCCACTGTGATTCAGCATCGTGTTTCTTAAATGGCTTGGTTCCTTCCCAGTGCCCCAGTTTTCCCGTTCCCCAGCACCACTTCCAATCTAACTGAGCATTTAAAACAGCTGCAATGGAATCACTCACATGCAGTCTCTTTCCTTTTGTTATTTTTAGGGTTTTTTTTAATCCCACATTACTCTCAAAAGAGAGGGGCAGTGGACTGGAAGGTGTCTGTGTTACTGTGCATTACTGAGGAGCTGACTTCTTAAGAACAGGTAATAAAAGTGGCTTGACTGGGTTTTATGGTGGTCTGTTTCTTGCACATGCTAGACTTTGCCTGCAACTGCAACTATAGAAGTAAAAGAACACTACACTATATCATTACTTCCCTGTGATGTGACAGACCCATTCTACAGGCAAACTATCCCCAGAACTGGGTATTTACTCTGCTATTCAAAAGGCTGATCCTTTAATTAAACCAACTCCATCAGAACCCCAGATGTGTAACTCAGAGACAAGTTTGCACAGCTTGCAGTGCTATCAGTCAGGCTAAAGAGACATGGGTTGAGTATTATCAGGAAAGAACCACACCAGAAGCTGCCAAGTACCGAGGGTGTGACCAGGTCTGGCTGAATGATTACTTAGATAGACCTTTTTTGAGAGTGTTTGCAGGGAAGAGGCTACAATCAGCACCACTGGATCTCTGGTGAAAAAAAGTTATTTTGAAGAGGTTTGGACTATCCCCTCAGTTATTCAGGAGCAAAGCTTGTCAGCTTAGAGCACAACCACCCTCTTGCATCTGCAATTCCAATAAGTGCACTAGAGGGGCACGCACTTCTTGCGTCTGTAACAACTTTGCAGAAACAACTCAAGAGGAGAAGCTCACTCTCAAGTGGGTTTTTACAGGCCCCAGAACAAGGAACAGTTTGTACCTGCAGCCGACAGAAGAATTTCCTACCACTTATAGTTTTAATCAAGGTAGTCACCATTAAATTTGTCACCCACTTCACCCACATTCCTGTCATATTACAGGTCCTTCCAACCCCTCTCCTAGAGCCTGCAGGATTCACTACAGTGACTCCCACAATTCATAGCAAAGTCCTCTCCACCTCTGCCTTGTAACACAGTCTAACAATGCTCCAAAACTGATTCCAAGTTTCTTCCTGCAGAATAATTACCCTCATGAGGATTCTGGTCCATCAGAGTAGCACTGAAATCTGTCAACAGACAACCAAGAGCCTGGAGTATGCATTCATAAACTGGAACACTTTTCCCCCCACCCCAAATCTAAGCAAATCCAACCTCTTCCTGCAAGCTACACGTCAGGGTGCTCTCTGCTTTGTATCACCCCTCCTTGCATTCCCATGAAGAGTGGGACAAGACAGGGTTATTCGCACTCATGCAGGGAGAAAAGTGGAAGATTCTCACTGCCATTGTCTCTTGTTGGATCCCAGTTTTAGGTACTGTCAGTTTGGACTGGGGAGTTTCTTTTTTCCTTCTCTTTTTGGAAACTTAGGAATGAGCAACAACTACAGCGCTGGTGAGGTACTTGCTATCCACTCAGGTCCTCAGCCATTTTGCTTTTGTCACATGACCTAACCTGCAGCACACAGACTGACCCATCCACTCCCCCAAGAGAACAGAGATTTATAGCAAATACTGTGTATGTAATTTTATACAACCAGCAGCAAAGCTGTTCTTGCCTTTTGGAGCAAGCTCTGACATTTGTGGTTTTTCCTGCTGGACACCACATCGCTGGAGGACCTCTATTCCCAAAGATCCAGAGAAAGGAAGTCAAGTTCACAGGACTAAAACCAGCTCTAGGTGATCACTTTGGTCCTGGAGTTCAATACTAGTTTACTCCTGGGATGATGACTGCAGTTTCCTTCATCTCTCTTTGCCCCCTCTTTTCAGCTGAGCTGTGTTGAAGCCAGCCATGTTGCATAAGGGGTTTGGGTGCTGGGTCACACTTAAGCCTCAGGGTGATTGCATGAAAACACACTGAAGGTATTGCTGCTGTGAAGGCAAACATCCATGAGCAAGAGGTGACTGAGCAGCCACACACCCCAGCTCAGCACACTCACGCTGTAATAATAAGGCCCAGCAACATCTGCAAGAATTAATGTTGCCCATCAGGTGTTGAGCACTGCAGAGAAATCCAACAAGCTTATTTGGCCTTAGCTGCTTTATTTCACCCTAATGAGATGTGATTCCTGGTGCACTAATACAAGCCAAAGAAACTTTTCTGCTGAAAGCTTCCAAGTTTAATTTCATTTCTAAGGCCAAGTTTCAAAGATAGTGGGCATCTAAATTCCACAAATACAAGAGCTCATGGTATTCTATTTAACCCATTTCTAGCTGCGCTGCAAGAGAAACAGGAGAAGCTACCACAAGATTTAATGAATGTCCACTTCATTTCCCCAGCTGGACTCGATCACAGTAGAAAACTCTGGAAAGCATCTAAATGGCAAGAGCTTGACTGGACCATCCAGTGACCATGAGTGCAACTAAGGGTCAGCACTGCAGGGAAGGTCTGTGGTCCATATGGATACTTCCCATTCCAAAGGAGACTCAAGATTTTCAGAATAAATCCTATACCTTTCCTGAAATGGGAGAGAAATCGAGAGGATCACATAGGTTACATGCACCATGAGAAGGAACTCAAGATCACAGCCAGTGTCTTGCATGCAACAGCTACCAAAACATGTAACACAGCTGTGTCCTGTATCTTCATTCTGTGGCTGCCTCCCCTAATCTGAGCCAGGGAATCTTCTCATTTAGTTTTCAGTACCCTTCAGTTAAGATATTCCCAGATATACATTTAGTCCTACCAAAAGAGATTCTAATTTTGCCAGGCCTCTTCAATGCACGTTAAAGGAAGCAACTAATTCCATAAGCCTTTGTCCTCCACTGTAGTTAAGGAACAGCATCTCAGAAGAGGAATTATATCAAACCAAAATTTTCTTCTGCTTTATTAAGAAAGAGGTGTTAAGAAAAGTTGGGCTTTTTTTAATGAAAAGTCAGTGAATTGTATTGGAATAGAAGAGTATGGTACATCAGGATTTCTGTTCTCACTGCTCCTCTGCTACCAGTGATGTTTCAAGCCTGTAAAAGGTGCCATTCCACAAAAGAAAAACATCACCTAACACTTTTATTCTGGGCTGGAATGACAGACTTTCCATTTCCTTTCTCACTAGAGATACTGTTTCTTCAGTGTGAAGACATCCCAGCCACAGGACAGGCCATCTTACCTCCCTAAAGAAGATGTCTGTATTCTGTGAACAACCCTCTACACAGCATTGCGCATCACTAAAAAAGAAGCTGTAGCGATCAGGTACCTCTTGGTGACACAGGGGCAGAAACCAGGTCTGCCCCACAGGAAAACCTCAGGTCAGCCTTTCCCACTGCCTCTCACAGTGCATGAAGTTTATATACTTTGTTACTCTGTCAGAAGCCAAAGATCTGGTTCTAAAACTCTTGCTGCACACCTAGAACATGGTATCCCCTGCTTCCATTTGTACTCTCATTAGAGAGGGGAAAAACATGAAGAGACTGAAAAATAACAGCAGTAGCCAAGGATAACAAGACCCCCACATCAAATCCTGCTGCTGATACAAAACCCCTGACAGATCAGTTAGAAGTTCTGCCAGACACGACTACCTAAAAAAGTTCTTCCTAAAAAGACTTTCATGGGTTTGAAGTTCAAATTTCAGTGCAGTCCCAGTTACACCACAACCTGGGGAGCTGCAGGTGAGCCATCTCCCATGTCACTCCAGTCTGTCCTGTGGGAGATCAGTTAACCCAGGTGCAGGGCAGGTAATACTTGGTTAACTGGGATCTGAATGCATTCAGAAAGTCCAAGAAAGAGCCAACACCTTCAAGACACTCATCTTGTCAACCCTCTGGAATACACTGCTCCTTTCTCAGCGACCTGAAGTAATGCAGTTGAAACCAGCCACTGAAGAGGAAGGAAATTAGTACAGCGATGGTGTTGCAGCAACCTGCTGATGCTCTGATAAATACTTCTGAAACTAAAACCTCTCATTTTAATCATTACTGCCCCATTTCTAGCTTTTAGGGAAAAGACCTGCAAGGTTCCAGGAACACTCTGCTCCCAGACAAGTTTAGAGAAAGGAGGCGGATTAGGTCTTACCTTGAAAAGACAGATGATAGGAGCCATAATGCCTCCTCATGAACTACTGTGTCAGCAAAACTAGCTGTGTGCAGTGACAGACAACACTTTGGTTTAAGTGCCAGATGAGCAAACAACACATAACTAACTCTGAGCTCCTCCAAATGAGGTTACTGACACACAGCCGGTAAGGGGAATGCTGTATCAATATTGGTATGAGACCTCCTAAATCAAGGAGTAAAAGCACACTCGAGTACAGAATGAAGGGCTCATATGCATCAGCAAATATCCGTTCTTACTATAAAACCAGAGCTCTCAAGCTGATTACTGCAATGCTAATGAAGATAAAACATTAATCCTTTAAGGAAGAAGAGAGTAGGACCTGCAACTCGCCCAACACTGAGCGAAGCCGGAAGAGGAAGGAAAAAGAAAGCAAAACAAGGCAGTGACCTGAAACGAAGCCAATTAGACCCAGCACAAACAACATAACGAGGGGTTCAGCCCCACCACCAGCCCATGCCGGCACAAAGCCCCCCAGCCTCACACTGGTCACTGCTCGCGTTACGCCGTCACTCCCGCCCGAGCTAACATCGGTTCGGACACACCACCGAGACCCCGAGGGGCCGTCGCTAGCGGCCTCTCCCGCTCCCCCCGGCCGGCTCTTACCGCCTTTGGGCTTAGACTCTCCCGCGGCGGGCCCGGCCGAGGCGGACCGCGGCTGCTGCCCTTTGCTGCCGGCCGAGGAGCCGGGCGCACCGGAGCCGCAGGGGCTGCTCTTGTCCATGGCAGAGGCTGCGGCGGGGGTCGCGCCGGGCGGGCTCTGCAGCATCAACGGGCGCCGCGGGGGGGAAGAGGCGGCCCCGGGCGGGGGTACAGGACGGGCGCTGGCGGAGCCGGCGGGGGCCCAGGCTCATGGCCCGCGGGGGCGACCGGCGGGGGCGGCGCAGAGCGGACTCGGCTTCCTTCATGGCGACATCTTCTCGCTGCTCCGCTCGAACCGGAGGAAGGCCGCGGGAGGCCGAGCCGGGCCTGCGGGGCTCCGGGCGACGAGGAAAGAGACGCTGCTCACGGAGCCCCGCGGGGCCCGGCTCTCCCTGCCGCCCGAGTGGTCGGCACCACCCAGGCACCCACCGGCTCCTCAGCGCCTTCCCGGCCCCGGCTTGGCCGCCGCTGCCCCGTAATGGCGACGAGTCGCCCTCAGCAGTGGCCGGGACCCGGATGGAGCCGATCCCGGGCGGGCCCGCGGGCACGACGGGACGCGTAGTCCTCGGCCACCGCGGAGCACGACGGGAAATGGAGGCCCCGGGACGCAGAGCGCCCTCTGCCGGTAGCAGCCCCACAATGCCCGGCCCCGAGCACCCCCTGCGAGCGCCAGGCACCGAGCCGCTGCGGGCGGCGGGCGGCCAGAAACAACGTCCTGGGGCCGGGGGGATCCAGTCTTTCATTTTCCAAAGCGGAAACGACCAAAGCACACATTGTTAGAGGCCCGGAGCAGGAAGAGCTGAACACCATCAGTTCTTCAGCAGGTAGGAACAGACAGTCCTGGGGGCTCAGCTTGTGACCAAAGAGGCCTGAGAGGATATAAGAAACCAAGTATTTCCACTGAATTGCTCAAGTAACTCTGAAAGGCGCAAACCCGCTCTGCAATGCCTAATTCAAGTGATCTTTAACTTCAAAGCAAAAGAAAAGAGGAAAAAACACAAGGCAACAAATTCTATCGGCATTTCAGTTAACCCTTAAAATAAGGCTTGGGTGCCCCGGCTGATCCCTTTCCCCTTATTTTAGGGATGAGGGCCTCAAGTTCACTGGGAGAGGAGTTGCAGGTTTTTTATACCAAGTCAGGGTGCAGTATGAAATGGCAGAGCTCATATTTCAGGAGAAGTCCCACAAAATGCCTTACTTTAACTCCTGTCTGTTCCCTAATTAAGTCTATTACTCTTAGAATTACTGACCAAATCATGAGGATTGTTATTACAGTGCTTAGATATTTTGCATTTGAGAAAATAAACTTTCTAACAAACTCAGTCATCCACATTTGCAGGGAAATATGAAAATAGCACAGGCAGGACTAGAAAAAGAGGTCAGATGGCCATAAAACTTCCAAAGGCAGGATGCAAGACTTTTATTAGCAAAGAAGTTGGCTGTGGAAAGAAAACAAATACAAACAAGTTTAGGTTTGGCTTTTTTTCTGCTATTCTTTCTTTAACTACAATAAAAACATCAACCATGGCAGCAAAATCCATCCTATTGTGCTTGGTGGCCAGAATCTGCTTCCTGGGGAAGGCTGAAGGCACGAGGCTTTGCGTTGCTAGCACACAACTGATTAACTGAGGTGAGAGAGTCAGTCCATGGCTCTGAGCACCATCAGGAGCAGACCAGTAACAGGACCTGATCAGAAAGAGATGGGGTGACTGGTCTGCTGTGTCACAGCTGTGAACGTTCCTTCCCACAGCATGCAGCCAAGTAGGACTGTATTTCCTGACAAATTCCAGCAGGAGACGCCACCAGGAAATGAGCACTACTGCCCAAATGCTGTCCTTGGGAGCAGAGGAAAGGAGTTAAATAGAACGAATCGCGAAAGAGAAGAACTGGAAAAGTGCATGTTGACAGGAACATGAAGACACCAGTCTGCAGCTGAAATCTGACCGGATTATCTAGTGTCCACAGAACTTACTATTCTAGCACTACTTACCCACCAACATCTTTCCTTGGTTTTTGAAGTCCATATAGCACTCAGGAGGAGGGCTTTAGGAGCAAACACTTACCCTCATTATATGAGCTGCAATGTTACACTCAAGCACAGCATTCCTACAGAGACTGAATGGCACACTCCACAGCACCTTGCTGCATCTCTTCTGACATGCCTGTATCCCTTACCACAGCTGTCTGATCACCCATAGGTACCTGTAATAAACAAAGGAAAGGGTTCAGAGCTGCTGCAGTACCTACCTACCAAGTAGCTGTACACATCATTTGTATCACAGCTGGCAACAGGTTTGCTGCCGCCATTTCTGCCGGCTGTGGCACAGGCGCAGCCCGTGCTCCGCGCCAGAGGAACGGGGGTTTAAACCCTCACTTGGGGCACCCGCTCCCCAGCCGGGAGCCCCGCAAGCGCCGCCGGAGCGGTTTCAAACCCCGCCTGTCCCTCCCCAGCTCCTCTCCAGCCCGGCAGTCCCTGGAGAAGGCGCATCCGCTCCAGCGCCCAGCCCCGACGGCCTTTCCCTGACGAGGAAAGCGAACGGAGGCCGGAGCCCCGCACCAAGGGCCCGGAGCCCCTCTCGACGATGGTTTAACGGCCTCGAGTGTGCCGCGGTCTCCTTAGGGTATCCCCAGCCGCGCCCCGCCGGACCGGCCCCCAGCAGAGACCAGCTCATACCGCCTTCGGGCTCGCCTTGCCCCGCAGTGGGCCCGGTCGAGGGGGATCGCGACTCCTGCCCTTCGCCACCCGGCGCACCGGAGCCACAGGGGAGACTCCCGTCCATGGCGGAGACCCCCACAACGGCGACAAGACCCCCGCGGCAGGGGCTGGGACCCGGATGGAGCCGTTCCCGGGCGGGCCCGCGGGCACGACGGGACGCGTAGTCTTTGGCCGCCGCGGAGCACGACGGGAGATGGAGGCCCCGGGACGCAGAGCGCCCTCCTGCAACCGCCCCCGACCCCGAGCCCCGGCCGGGCGGCAGGAAGGGCTCTGCCCCGCCCGGCCTCCGGCAGCGCTCCTCTTGTCAGCGCCGCACGGGGCGGAGGGACCGGCAGCAACGTCCCGAGCAAGCCACCCACCCTGCCCAAGGCAGCCAGAAACAACATCGTGGGGGCCAGGCGGATCTAGTCTTTTATTTTCCAAAGCACTTCTCTGAGGCACCAGCAGAAACAGCCCAGGCCCTGGGGCAGCACATCCAGCCACACAGGAGGGGAAACCACCAAAAACCACCTCGGAAGAAGAGGATTGTGACAGGAAGAACTAAACGCTCTCTGTACTTACATAGCACAAGTGGTAACTGGGCAATACTGTAGACTGCTAGAAAACTCTCCAAGGCAAAACTGCTCCAACAGCTCTACTAGCAAAGAAGCAGCCTTTGGGGGAAAAAAAATAATATAAAAAAAATCATGGAAGACTTTTTTTGGTATTTTTTCCTTTTTTATATCCACAATGTAATATCATCTGCTATAGCATAATCCCTGCCTTTGCCCTTGAAGATCAAGGTCTGCGTCCTCAGGAAGGCTGCAGTAACTAGTCAGAGGAATCTGCACAGTCCTGTAACCAGATGCGAGGTTCAGTAACAGTCCGTGGGTCTAACCAGACTTGAACAGAAGAATAGCCACTTGGCCGAGGTAGAAGTAGATGAAGTGCTTGGTCTCGTGAGTCACGTAGCTGCCGAAGTTCCTCCCCACGATGCAGTGCCAGGTGGGATTGTATTTCTTGTCAAACTCCTGCAATATAGATCACTAGAAATTAAGAACTCTTCTAAACTGGTATTCACTCTCTGAGCAAGGCAATTAGAGGAAGAGCAGATGCTCTTAAACACTAGGATTATCTTATTTACATCTTACTGCTTAGTCAGACAAAAACAAAAGAGACACAGTGCTTCCCACCCGAAGCAGCAGTAAGTTTAAAACGTTATTTCTGTGAAGGGAAAGAAAGTCTTCCTCTCCCTGCAATTCACAGCAGCATCTGAAACTAGAGCCCTTGAGTAAAAGCTTCAACACTATAGTTTATACCCGCAGAGATTAAGCCGTAATTTAGACCTCACTGTTCATCTGCGAAAGGGATGCAGTGGAAAATTCTCTGCCACATGCTCTGTAACACAGATACTATCAACAAATCTGAGAACGGGTGGTTTACTCCTGTCAAATCCTTTGCAACTTCACAGTAGCTGCTACAAAGAATATCTGAAAAATTAGACTAAACTCTCTTTTCCACTGTCACAGATAATTCCTGCATTTGGGAAATAAAATAAAAGATGCCTTTCTCAACTGTGGGCATAGCAAACCAGTATTCTCTAGTGGAAAGAATCATTCTGCTTACTGGAAATAATTTTTATGTTCAAGAAGCTTGTCTGCCCTACATATCCTGAAGCAGAGCCTCAGGCTTTAAGTCCAATGAGATAATTTGAGTGGTACCACAGTATAAACAACTCGAGCTGGGTACCTCCAGAGAACGACCCCAAAGGAATTCCTGGAAAATTACACTGTCACAGTTGGCGTTCCTCACCCCTCACATATCAGTTTAGAGCAATAATATTAGGGTCTGGAGTCTTGCTCTTCACTGGACCTCTTCATTGTCCCTGGGCCATACATTTTTCATGTTATCTCTGAGGTTGTGGTTTCTGATAGCAGTTGTAGCTTCCTTACCATGCAGCCTGAACTGGCTCTTGAGCCCCTCTTTCATGGAACAATCACAGATGTCAAAGTTTAACATGTCTGCGTGAGAATTCACAGCTTGCAGCCTAAGCCTTCAGCAAATGTATAAACTAATGCTAAGCAGTTAACGCCAGACAGCTGCAGCCCAATAATCCTTAACATTTAAACAGCAATTCCACTCAGATCAGTTTAACTTCTATGGACATTCTTTAGTTTCTCCATTCTCCGGAGTTGACGAAGCAGGAAATTATCACAACCAGATCTTTCCCATGTTCAGTATTGTTAATCCTACATAAAGAATGACACAGACATTGCAAACAACAGATAATCAGTGCCACCAGGGATATTTTTTGTGGTGGGATTTTTTTTCCCCTCCTTTTTTGCTTATGTCACTACATAAGGAGAGCTGTGATTACAGTAGACTTGCAGAGAACTACTTCACTCTGCAATTCTTGACCTAGCTGGACAGAACTGCGAACAGATCCTTAAGATTAACTTCAATAAAACTGAAACCAAGAACTATGTAAAACAGGTTTACTCCCAAAGGAAAACCATATGAGAACACAATAGAGGCCCTGTGTTTTGTACCAGCTCATCAGTCACAGGGACAGTCAGTGGCCACTCTCTGTTCACCTTGGGCAACAGGACAGGGCAGAAAAGGCTTCAGTAGAAGGTACTGTGAGAGAAAAGCAGAACCTGGAAAAGTCCACATAAAGGGTGGAGAAAGGAACATGAGGACAGCAGCCTACAGAAAGTCCAACTTGATTATCTGGTGTCTCGAGAACTTGTTTCTCTAGAGCTACTTGCCTAGCAGCATTCTGCCTGCTTGATCTTTCATGTGCATAGATATTTCACGAGGACATCACAAGCAAACATCTACCTTCTTTATGTGAGCAGCAATGTCCTTCTCGATGTTGTACTTCTCCAGTGCCTGTGTAGCACACTCCACAGCGTCTTGCTGCATCTCTTCTGACATGTCTGCATTCTTGATCACAGCCTTTCGATCACTCATGATTGCCTACACTGAGCAAAGAAGAAGAGAATGCAGAGTCACAGGGGCTCTACCTGCCAGGATCACCTACCTGTGAGCACCTACTGTACACACAGGTACCACCATTCCCAGAGAGGTTTCGGAGCCCGTGCAGCGCCCTCAGCCGTGGCTGGGCAGCATTTCTGCCGGCTGTGGTACAGGTGCAGCCCGTGCTCTGGGCCAGAGGCACAGAAGTTTCAAGCCGCCCAAAGCGTAGCCGCTCTCCAACTGGGAGCCCCACAGACGCCGTCGGAGCGGTTTCAAACCCCGCCGCCCGTCCAGCTCAGCCCTCCGCAGGCCCTCTCCAGCCCGGCAGCGGTCCGGCGCAGGCCAGCAGCCCCGGGAGAGGGCGCAGCCGCTCCAGCGCCCAACCCTAACGGCCTTTCCCTACCGAGAAAGCCGAAAGGATCCCAGGGCTCCCCACCAAGGACCACAGCCCCGCACAGCTCCAAGAAAGCCTCCAGCCTGGAGCTCCCGGGGGTGCGAGAAGGGCTGAAGTAACCCCTCAGCAAAGGCCGGGGCAGCGGTGGTGCCCGAGCACCACCTGCTCAGCGTCAGCCGTCCCAGAGACCGGATAAGACGAGGCACGTTTCAGGAGCTGCCCCAGCCCAGCATTCAGGCCCTCACCGCTCGGCCGCTGCCGCGGGACCAGCCCTAGTTGATGGGAGCAAGCAAGGCGCAGAAGAACAGCAAGCTGCTCCCTCCACAGCCGCCTCGGTTTAACCGACCCGCGCGCAACGCCGTCGCCTCCAAGCACCCCTAGCCACACCCCCTCCGTAAGAGGAGACAGCCATTGGTCACTGCTACCACCCCCCCGAGCGCTTATTGGCCAACACCTGGTGCTCTCGTAGCATTTTACTGCAGCAGTTTGTTTCAGACCGGCATGCTTTGCGCCTGCACCTGTTCCCATAGCGACGGGTGGCGGCAGAGATGGAGGCCGAGCCCTGGGTTGGGTGGGGGCGCGGCCTAGGGCGGCTCCGCAGCCTGGCCTCGGGGGAGCGCGGGGCATGGTGCGGCCGCAGCGCGCTGCTGGCGGGTGTGCGTGGGATAGCTGCATTCCGGCGGTGCGCGGCCTCGGCTTGGCCTTCGCCTCTTTGTCCTCATGGCTGAGCCGCCTGAACGTGCCTGCTTGCAGGCGTTTGTGCAGCAGTCTGTGACTGCAACATGAGAGAGGCTCTCCCGGTCGCTTCTCTGGTAGGCAAAGATCATCTTTCCCTAAAGCTGAGGCAGACAAAAGAATCCCAAGCAAAACAGGTCCAAAAAAACATGTGATGCTTTGCGAGGCATCTAACTACAAAAAATATAGGGCAAAGTAGCAAAATCAGAATTTCACTGTTTGCTCAATTCTGCATAAAAAACATGAGAAAATCGGGGTAGGAGCTGGTGAGGGCGCTACTGTCCCCACATCGTGGTAGGGGAGATGGCTCCACGTCGGGGAGTGCAGGCTCAGGTCTCACCTCAACCTGTTACGAGGAAGGGTTATAGGACTTGTGTCTACAAAGCTGAGGTAATTCATGGGTGATTCAAATAATGTGGTAAGCGGAGCAGCTTTTTTGGGGGAAAAAAAAGGCAGAAAAGGTCCCACATTTGTACTAATGTCCCTAACAGGAATCAGAGGCAACTCCTCCCCCTCATGGGAACCCGCAGACCAACCCTCCCACCTCCTCCCGATGAGGTCTTTGAGCCAGGAAACTGCAGAACTAAAAATTTAAAGAGATTAGCACAAAACTACTTGCAAAATTACTCAAATCCGGTGTATGGAGTGCCTCGGGTTTGGTTTTTAACCCTGTCAGGTACATTCCCCCAGCACATAACCAGTTGGCAGCACCGGGGTGTTCGGGGCCGGACCCCGCGTCCTCTCAGGCTGTGGAGAACCCACAGCTCCCGCCGAAGCCGGCAGAGCCTCGGCACAAACACCCAGTGCGGATGCTGAGCACCCCATCCGCGTTCCTAGAGCCGGGCACGGAGGCAGCCGCGGCCGCGCCCCGCGCCGTGAGGCGCTGAGGGAGGTGGGCGGGTCGTGCCCTTGCAAGATGGCGGCGGCGGCGCTGTGCCCGTGCCGGGCCGTGCTCGCCCTGCGCGGCGGGGCTCTGCGGGCGCTCAGCGGTTCCGTGCGGGGCCTGGCCGCGGGGACACAGACACACTTTGGCTTCCAGACCGTGACGGAGGAGGAGAGGAGGGAGAAAAGTGAGGGCAGCGGCGGGGTCCGCTGCCGGGGAGGGCGAGCTGGGCCGGGTGGGAACCTAACGGGGCTCCCTGCAGCCGGCGCGTAGGGGCTGTGGGGATAAAGGGTGCTGGAGTGGTTGGTTTGGGACGTTACTGGGAGCCGCAGGGCATAATAGCGCTATGCTAGCTTCATTCCTCCTCTCAGCTCTGGAGGTGTTACGGGAGAAGGCTGCATTTCTCCAAAGGTGTGTGTCAGGCAGCAGGCTTAGTACAGTTCGATTGTGGTTTTTGTAAGGAGTTTTCAGGTGGTATTCTTCAGTTCCATATGTTGACAGACCTTCACGAGGCAATAATTGTCCTTTTGCTTCTAGAGGAGCATTTTTAAGTAAATCGCATCTTATTCTCCTGTTCTTTCTTTGCAGTTAACCAGGTCTTTGAAAGTGTGGCCAAGAAATACGACGTAATGAATGATTCAATGACTTTAGGGATTCATCGAGTGTGGAAGGACATCTTCGTGCATAAAATGAACCCTTCCCCAGGAACACTTCTTCTTGATGTTGCTGGAGGAACAGGTAAATGATTTTGGTGAGTTCCACATGACAATGCCATTCTAGTTTTGAACTGTTTGAGCCTGCTCAGAATTAAGTTGCCTACACTTTTCCTCGGTCCTGTGTCTTTGAAACTAGTGAAGCATCTACTTGCTTTTCAGAGAAAGGTTGAGAGCTAACTCCTTTGTGGTTTGGAATATCTTGCTCCGAGGCTCTGAAAGTGTTACAGTCCTACCATGATGTGTTATGGAAAGCTGTTTACGTTTGTAGGAAGTCACAGACTCTGCTTTTAATATGTTCCCTTTACCTATATATACACACACACTCTCTGGCTCTCCGTACTGTATGTGTGGGTTTTACTTTTATTTATATGCATATATATAAATAAAAATGAACTCAGTTTGGTGTTCAAAGCCTCATGTTCCAATTTCCTGCAGTCAGAAAACATTCCCAAACGTATCTCTTTCTATTCAAACAACTGCAGGTGACATTGCCTTTCGCTTCATTAATTACGTTCGCTCTGCACGGGAACGGCAGCTCCAGCGGAAGCTGAGGCACCATCAGAACTTATCGTGGCAGGAAATTTCTGAGAGTTACCAGGAAGAGCAGTTTAAACCACTGGGGGATTCCCAAGTGGTGGTCTGTGACATTAACAAAGAGATGTTAAAAGTTGGGAAGCAGAAAGCACAGTATCTTGGCTACTCTGAAGGTGAGTCATGCGTTGTACCGTGTCAGTAGCGTGCTTGATGCATGGTAGCCATTGGGTAATCACCCCCTTCAGGATCACAATATACGTTGTGTGGCCATGGTGTATACTGTACCTGTACTTTTGCCAACGTTGAATGACCTTTTTTCAGTGAGCATGTAGTACATTGTTCAGATGTACAGTGATCCTGTTGAATAATACTTGAACTTTCAAAAATACATGTATGGGAGTGTCCGTGAGGTCTGATACCCAGCTGTCCTTCAAAACTGGTTGAAGCTAAAGCTGCTGTTTATATCTGTGCTAATAAATCTGATTTTACTAAGGCAGGTAATGCAAAAGAGCTCAGGCCTACAATGATTACACTAAAGATCTTATAATGGGTATTTTAAGAATGAAGGCAACAAAAATGCAGGAACTAAGGGATATTGTAAACATATAAAACCTTCCACAGTTAGAGCATATGCTGAAAACACTCAGAGCAACTGCATTTGAAATTAAATTTGAATGTCTCCTGGCAATAACTGTGGTTTTTCTGTTGTGTTTTGCTCTCCTCCATGGTCACTTTCTGGCATCCTGCCCTTTGAAACTGCTGACCTCTGCTGCAGAAAGCTTTTGGTTTGTTGTTTTTTTTTTCCTGCAGTTTTTTGTTTGTTTGTTTTGTTTTGTTTTGAATTTGAGTCACCAAAACCAATGACTTTAAGAACTATTAACTATAAACTGTACCAATTAACTATAAAATGTACCAATAACCTGGACATGCACAGACAGACGTGGCCTTGATCCACTGGGGATTGGGAAGCAGCAGCAGGACACTGGCAACAGGATCACATGCCGATAGTGCTGATGAAGGAAGCGTGGCTTTTCATGTGCTTCTGTCTAGGGAAGCTTTCTAGCAAAATGTTTTTAATGTGTTGGCCATTGTTGCATGGCAAGATATTAATTATTGTTTGAGCAGAGATTCTCTTTCTGCACCTTTACTACAAACAGATGGCAGCCAGTGTCTGCAAAGCTGGTTGCTTTCCACTGCAATGCAAGATTTGGGTGAAATCCTTTTGGCACACTGCGAGCACATGTATACACAGAAGAATGTTTTGGCTAATCTGCAAAATTGAGTACTTTGGCTTGAAAGACAGCTATAGAGTACAGGGCTTTGAAAGATTTGTGAGGCTAGACCAAGGTGTCTTTCCTCCAACAAAAATGTAAAATTGAAACATTAGCTTTAAATATCACCTTTTTAATAACCTGGAATAGGTAAGTTCTGGTCTTTCTGGAGCAGCCTGAATTCAATTCTGTGTCCTTGTCTTTTACTACAGGCTTATCCTGGGTACTTGGGAATGCTGAAGAGTTGCCCTTTGATGATGATAAGTTTGATGTTTACACAATTGCCTTTGGAATCCGAAATGTAACTCGTATTGATTTGGTAAGTTGCTGTGGTGTATCCTAACATGGTGTCCTTATAATTCATCTGAGTTTTTTATTCTAGCAGAAGTAGTAAAGGAGGAACTCCTTTGGATAAAGGAGCATTGTTGTCTAGTCCTGAAACATTTAAAATAAGTGGCATGTAGTGTGCAACTTGTTCAAATGGAAAATGCAATTAAATGCTCCACCTTTGTCATAAAAAGTTAGATTTATACCAGTTGCACCCAATCCTTCCAGCTTGGCAAGCCACACAGTCTCTTCCTAAGGCAAAAAAATGGCTGAATGTTACAGTCATTCCCCACCTTCTCCTGACCTGTGATGTGTCTGGATCTACACATGCCTGGTGTAGTCAGCCTGCATATCTGAAAGGTTCCTGAACACCTGATCTATATCCCACCCGCAGTGGGTCCAAAACTTCCAGCCTTATTCTGTTTCCCTGCCTGAGCCAGCAGAACTTCTAGAGCAGAGAGTGGAAAGCAGCTGGCTGCTGCCACCACTGCCATTGACTAACCTGTTCAGTTTATTTCTGCTTAGTGTCTTCACACTGGCTGATAGTAGAGTTCCCCATAAAGAATGAGTATGAGTTTAATTAGGATAAGTAATACTCTTTGTTCTAAACAGTATCTGTCCTTCAAGAATGAATAGCTGTCTTGGGAAGAAGATAGGTTAGATTGCCTGTCTATCTGGACTTGTCTGTGTCTTGGAGGAGCGTGTTACAAACTTGTCAGTGCTTCTTCTGTGGAAGGTGTAGTATTTGGATCCAGACCACCTTGAACTGTATGCCTTTGAACTTCCTTCCTTAATGTGGATAGCTTTTCACAAAGCTATGTCTGCACCCTTCCGAAGCACAAGCCCTTTGCCTTCATGGATACAGCAGGCTGATAGCGTAGTTCCCAGGAGACCAGGTACAAAACACATCCAAGCCTCCAGTTCTCTTGCAGAGCTCCTGTCACATATGTGTACTGTTTGTATTTTATCTCTTAGGAACACGACAGCTGAAGCCAAGCAGGTGTACAGCCTGCAGAAGTTCTTGAATGCAACTGTGGTGTGCTCTCATATGAAAAAACATACAGCTCTAAACAGTTTGTCTTGGTTCTCCATAGGGGTATTATTTGGGATTTAGCATAGAATTTTCAAACTAGCCAAAGATATTCTTCTTCGCTCTCCTTCCTTCCTTGCTCTCACACATTGCTCATCCAAAACCCAGTATCATTTCTTCTTTGATCCTTTGGGTGTGCCTCACAGTTGAGTAAAATCTTTTATTTAAAAAGAAAAAACATCTATCGTGCTCTCTTCTCATTTTCAGCTTCTTGTAGCTGAGTCACCCTCTCCCTTTTGGGTTTGGTCTGTAATTACAAGGGCTCTGCTGGCAAACATTCATCAACTGAGAGGAGGGAAAAAAGAAGAAAAATTGCCAACCTGACGTCATAGTTTCGATACAAAGTCTGGTGTAAATCTGTTTATGGAGCAACAAGAGTATTTGCAGTTCAGTTCTGTTGTTTGGTTTTGTACTTGCCTTGGGATGCTTCTCCACAAGTAAATATTGAAGATTGCCAGTCAGGATTCTCTTTCCTCCTCTCAGTTCACCACCAAGTTGCCATCACATGGCATGAGAATAGGAGAGCGCTGTTCTACGGAAACTAACTCACCTTGTCTGCTTTGTGTCAGGCACTTCAGGAGGCCTATCGTGTGCTGAAACCAGGAGGAAGGTTCCTCTGCCTTGAATTTAGTCATGTCAGCAATCCTATCATTTCCAGGTAGGAACATGGGAACATTTGATGCCATGTCACAAGGCTCTTTTATTTGTACTCAACCAGAATTAGTGATGGAGACCCTCTGAGGCCACCACACTATGCGCTATTAGAATCATATACAGATTCCAAGGCATGGTGGTACAGAGATCACCTTGTGTTGGAGAGAGGTGGTTTTAAGCTTGTTTGTATTAATCTGTATTTTCTGTCTCTCTGTGCAGGCTCTATGATCTATACAGTTTCCAGGTTATCCCTGTTCTGGGTGAGGTAATAGCTGGTGACTGGAAGTCCTACCAGTATCTTGTGGAGAGCATCCGACGTTTCCCCCCTCAGGTAAGACAATATTTCTCTGAATTCACTAACACACAAACCATGGTCCCAACGTAACCTTATAGGCAGCTGCCTTCAGGTTTTTATAATTCTGGAACTGTTATTTTTCAGGAGGAATTGAAGGCGATGATAGAAGATGCAGGCTTTTTTAAAGTGGATTATCAAAATTTGAACTTGGGCATTGTTGCCATTCACTCGGGTTTCAAACTGTGAGGCTACTGTGTAGCAAACCAGGAAGTGTCATTTTCCTTACGAATCTGAAAGGTGTGGAACTTTGTCAAGATTGAAGAGGAGTTTTAAGAACTTGGGCAGCAGATAACGTGTTCAGCTGTCAGACCCTGAGGAGCAGCAGCACCTTTCTTCCCCCAAGAGATCTGCAAGTTGATGGAGTGACTCCTGGGGAGTTTCTTACACTTGCATTTGCCTTCAAGCGCAACGTAATGGACAAGGCCAAAACTGAGCAATGCTGACAAACAAAGCCACTTCAGTTACCAGTGGTGTGGATACAGAAATAGACTTACCAGTATTCAAATAAGATGCCTCCTTTTTCTTTTTTACTACGGTTCAAGGAGGATATTGCACTAGTGAAAAATAACTTGAATTCAGTAGATTTTTTATTAAGTGGTTATTGTCTTTGTCATGCAGGCTTTAAAGGATTTTCCCCGTGATACCTTTACCCTTTTCAAGGGCATAGGGAAGACTTGTGAAATAAAACCAACTCTGCATCAACTTTTCTCACTTAAGTATTTTAGCCTTTGTAAGATTTCCTTTCTAAGAAGGGGAATTTTACCTGGAGGAGAATGGCCACGTAACCATTTTGGGATGAGATGTTTTCACCTCCATATGAAGTCTTTGTCAATGCTAGATGCATAATCTTTATGTAAAAATAGTACGCGTTTCCTTCTGTATACTTGCTTCTGTAGCAGGATATAGAGATGGAATGAAAAAAAGTCTAGAGAAGGTAAATTTACATTCAAAGTGACAGCTGTGTAATGAACTAATATGAATATTTCTCCTGAAAATGAGGAGACTCCTGCTTTTAACCCACCACTTCACTTGAAAAGAACACTCTCTTCTAAACGCCAGAATTTGTGCTGGAGGTTGTGCCCACTGAAAACGGTCTTATCAGGAACTGGGGAGCAGTCTCTTTCTCTCAGGAAACTACCTCTTGTTGTTCTCTGTTACTCAGAGGCGAGCTCAGGCTTCACGTGCTCTGGACACGGGGGGCAGGACGGAGGTGGGAATGTTCCCCCTTCATTCACAGTAGAATAAAGGGTAATACAAGCACTAAAAAGGCAGAAGGGCAGAGAGGAGTCTTAAAGGATAAACTTGTTCCAACAGTTTTATTAGCAAAGAAGCCATCTTTTGAAAGAAAATAAATACAAGGAAGACATTTTTGCCATTTTTATAGCCACAATGAAAAAAAACAGCTGCTACAGCAAAATCCCTGACCATGAACAATACAACAAAAGACCTGAAGGTCTGTTTCCTCAGGAAGGCTGAAGGTAGGAGGCTGTCTGGAGTTGGTGCAGTCCTGTAACCAGATGCAAGGTTCAGTAACAGTCCGTGGGTCTAACCAGACTTGAACAGAAGAATAGCCACTTGGCCGAGGTAGAAGTAGATGAAGTGCTTGGTCTCGTGAGTCACGTAGCTGCCGAAGTTCCTCCCCACAATGCAGTGCCAGGTGGGATTGTATTTCTTGTCGAATTCCTACAGAAGGGAGAAGTAGAAAGTCAGCATTTTGGTGAGAATTGCACTAATATTGTCTAGCAAGGGCTATTTTTGCACTTGTTAACAAGTGTTGCTTTTGGAAGAAGGCAATTAAGAAGTAGCAGATGCTCTTAAGTGCAAGGATCATATGTCACTGTATAACTCATCTGCTGCTTAGTCAGACCAAAAAAAAAGGTGCTACTGAGCTGAGCAGGAATAAGCTTGAAACATATGTCTGGGGAAGTAAGTTTTCCCCAAAAGTCACACCATGAGCTCAAACAGTAACTTTTAAGACCTTCACTGCTTGTTCTGATTCTCTAGACTAAGCCATTATTTTGACTTCAGTAGCTATTTTCAACAAGGCTGTTGAAAAAAACCTTAGATGGAACATTCTTTACTATATCCTTGATACCAGGTCCTGAGCCCGTGTTCTTCCTACATGCTGTAGCCTGGAGCCTGCTATGACTTTCAGATAAACTCGGGTTGGACAGAGCCTTGGGTGACATGTTGAGGGTGAGGTGTCCCTGCCCAAGGCAGGGGGTTGGAACTGAATGATCTTAAGATCCTTTCTAACCTAAAACACTCTGTGATTCTACAATTCATGTGTACAAGACTACTCTCAGTAAAAATGCACAGTCAGTGGTTATATACTGCAGTCCCCAACAGCCATCACCTGAAGAGATTTTGGGAAGAGCATGCAGGAGTTTGCATTCTGCTCAACCCAACCCTCCAACTACTTGCAGCTCAGGCAGGCTCCCAGTAGGAGTCAGAGAAAAAATCTGACAACTGTAAGCTATGAACCATCTGTTCTGCGTTGGCACAAACAGTTTGTCTTACATGTGCTGTGCAAAAAAAAAGCAAAACCACTTATTCCAGGGTCAGCAAACCCCCACTTGTCAGATGGGCTCCACAGAACCCTGTCATCAGTCACAGGGACAGTCAGTGGCCACTCTGTTCACCAGGACAACAGAACAGTGGCAGAAAAGGCTTCAGTAGAAGGTACTGTAAGAGAAAAGCAGAACCTGGAAAAGTCCATGTAAAAGATGGGGAAAGGAACATGAGGACAGCAGCCTACAGAAAGTCCAACTTGATTATCTGGTGTCTCGAGAACTTGTTTCTCTAGAGCTACTTGCCTAGCAGCATTCTGCCTGCTTGATCTTTCATGTGCATAGATATTTCACGAGGACATCACAAGCAAACATCTACCTTCTTTATGTGAGCAGCAATGTCCTTCTCGATGTTGTACTTCTCCAGTGCCTGTGTAGCACATTCCACAGAGTCTTGCTGCATCTCTTCTGACATGTCTGCATTCTTGATCACAGCCTTTCGATCACTCATGATTGCCTACACTGAGCAAAGAAGAAGAGAATGCAGAGTCACAGGGGCTCTACCTGCCAGGATCACCTACCTGTGAGCACCTACTGTACACACAGGTACCACCATTCCCAGAGAGGTTTCGGAGCCCGTGCAGCGCCCTCAGCCGTGGCTGGGCAGCATTTCTGCCGGCTGTGGTACAGGTGCAGCCCGTGCTCTGGGAAGGGGAACGGGAGTTTAAACCCCTCTCACTTGGAGCACCCGCTCTCCAGCCGGGAGCCCCGCAAGCGCCGCCGGAGCGGTTTCAAACCCCGCCGCCCGCCCTAGTCCCGGTGTCTCTCGGAGCCCTCCGCACCCAGCGCCCCGTTCCCCCCCCTCACCGCTCGGCGGGCGCCGCGGGACCGGTCGGGATCGGAGCTGATCGGCGGTGCGATCTGGTCGCTAACCGCCGCCCCGCCTCCAAGCGCCGCCAGCCCCGCCCCCTCCGCAGCGGCCACCAGCCATTGGTCACCGGTCACGCCCCCCCCCTGCGCCCATTGGCTACTGCCCGGGACTCTTATCGGGTTTTACTCTTGCTTTTTCTTTCAGCCCGGCATGCTTCGCGAGCTGCGTCGGTTCCCATAGCGACGGGCGGCCGCGTGGTGAGGTGCCGGTGCCGGTACCGGTACCGGCCGCGCCGCGGGCTGTGGTAACGCGCAGTTCGGCTGCGTGCGGAGAGATCCGGTCATGGCTGCCCCGCCGCTCGCCCGGTGATCCCGGGCCAGTGTTCCCTGCGATACCGCTGTCCGTGCGTGTGAACGTGTCCACTGCAAGGCATCTTTCCGTAGCTGGCTCCTGGCTCCCAAAGGCCCCGCTCCAATCCGGATCACAGAGACACCGGGTTTAACCCAGTGACCTCTGCAGCGGCCCTTTGCTGTTGGGAGTGCTCCTCCAGTAATTGCCCTTCCTGAGCGGGAATCCCACCCATGTCAGAGGAAGGAGTTCCACAGCTTTAAAATGCCACTTGATCATCTTTCCTATTCGCATGTGTTGTCAATCTGTCTTTGCCTTTCAGATTCATTGACTTCTGAGACAAATCTTTCACCTATGCTTACTGTGATCAAGTCAGCTCCAAACTTTGTTCCTTTCGTGAACTGAATCCATCAGGCTCCTTAAATCTTATTCAAGGTACCTCCTGCAGACCTCACTCTCTGCAGCTCTTGCCTCCTCTTTATTTTTCCGGGAGAGGGGGGAACATGTGTGTGGGTTTTGTTTCGTTTTGTGTCTATCTGTTTGTTTCAAATGAAGCAAGACGCTTTGGGGCTCTGTTCTGTTGGGTTTCACTCTCCCCGGGGCACTTTCTGCTTCTGCTCTTGTCAGCAGATAGAAAATTGCTGTTGAGTCTTCCATAGCTGGTGATCTGTTAATAACAGGACTGCGCTGTTTCGATAACAAACAGCACAGGATGATTTAGGAGAGGTTTGTCAGGCACTGGTTGGTGGGCCTGCCATTTGCTTATAGAAATAAAACCTCAAGAGCAGTCGTCTATCTCACTTGAAATGCAAATATTTTTCATGTTATTATATGGTAAGTACCTGCTCAGTGGCATTCATAGGAAAAGCAGCATAATTGCAAACAAGCTTTTGCTTTTGAAATCTCTGAGGCAACCTCAGAGGATTATACTGCCACCAGAATACTGGAACTGGATAATGTAATACTTTTGTCACTTTAGAGTATCTCAGAAATGATTCCTGACTTTAGCTCCCAGGATTTAGCATTCCAGATGGAAGAAATGCAGTTCCCAGCTTTGCTTTCCATCTTTGCCATTAGGAGGGTGTGCTAGCGACTGCTCTGAAAGTTATGAAATTAAGGGAGGGGTTCGGTAACTGCAGGCAAATTTCTACACATTTATTAAGAAATGGTTGGCTGAAGGAACAGATGTGATGAGGACTGCAAGAAATGTCAGTGTGGGTCAGATACTTGTTGTTAATGAGAAACATTAAAGAGAAACCTTCGAGCCTTCCTTGTTGATCAGGGATATAAAAGTATAGTTTCCAGCAGGACAGAGCTGCAGGAGAAGGCAGAACAAACACACTTGGGGACGGTATATGGAGGAGAGAAGGTGCCAAAGAAAACTGGATAATGGATAAGGCCTATCATGAGGTTCCTCTTGCAGATGGAGGTTAGACTGTAAGCACTTTTCAGTTGAGGCCTTTTTTTGCTGTGTCACATACTGTATTACTGCATCTAATAGAGATTTTTCTTGTGGCTCCTCATTACTCTCATAAGATAGTAATTATTAGCAACAAACTAACTTCTTTTTTTTTCATAAAACTGAAGAAATCACCTTGAAATGTTCTTAGTAATCCTGGAGTACGTATGCTAAGGCTTCTGATCCAATTTGATGTGTTACAGATCTTCATAGTAGTGGAAAATCCTTAGCAGGTATAAGTCAAGTGATCTCCATGGTCTCCAGGGAAACAAGACACATTTACATCATCTCAGAATCTGGCCTCCTTTTTTTATCTTCTGTTTGCTGTATCTATTGACCATTGAAAAGGATGAGTTATTTCGCAAATACACATTATGTTTGCCCCACTGCAGTTACCAGGAATTTACAGGTAGCGATTTTATTACGAGTCCTTAACTATATTTATTCACTTGCCAGGGTTTATAAATTGCACTGTGGCAGAATACTGTAAAGACCTGACCCAGATCCAGACCCACTTGCTCATCGAGGCCCTGCAGTGAAAGCAGATGAACCAGCACCTCATCCCCACCTCAGGGTGCAGCTGGGGCCCAGTGGGGCTTTGCACCGTGCTGTGGGGAACAGCACCAGGGAGGCCGGGGGCAGGCTGAGGCACTAACACATTCTGCCCCACAGGGAGCTCATCTGGCCTCTGCGAGGGTTCCTGCTCTGGTGGTTGCAGGTGTCTCTGTCAGGGCTGTAATTCCCGTATTAGTGGTGAAGCTGCAACAAACCCCTTCATTAAGGAAATGTGTTTTCCACTTAATGTGCACTTTGCGCTGCAGGGAACAGGCATCAGGCAGTTTGTTCTCTCACTCGAGAGAGGGGGTAAGAGAGCAGCAGTGACCTGGCAGTTTTAAGCTTAGCCTGCGCTGCACTGGGAATGTGGAATCATCTTTGCCCAAATGGTTGGTTTGGTTGTTGCTTTAACATAGCTACATATATTGGGTTGGAAGCTCCTGCAGCCATGCAGTTGACTCTCAAATTTCTTTTCCTTTTTCTATGTATGTAACACTGTCCCCACTCTCTAGGGTAGTTAGAGGAGGAGGTCAAAACAAATAGAACAAGTAGGGATTTCTCAAGCTGGGAATTCTCTGCTAACATTCTCGTTGTATGGTATGATTTCAGATCTTTCCTTGTCGTGGTTTATAAAAGTCATAAATTACTTTTCAGCTGAGCTTGTATATTTATAAAACTCCATCATCTGCAGGGTCTGAATCTTGAAAAGCCTGAGACTAAAGAGCTAATACAGTGTTATAGCTTTGCAAAGAGTTGGATTAGTGGGGTTAAACAGACTTTGATTCAACACTCTTAAAAGAATTCAAGTATCATAATAATTACATGTTTATGCATATATGTGTGTGTGTAATAGAAGCTTAAAGAAATAATGAAGTAACTGCACAAGTAAGAGAAGGACAAGTGATTGTTCTTACTTCTTGCCTGAGAAACATGAAAAGAAATATAAATCAAAGTTCAAAGCTTACCAAACATGCAGCCTTTGAGAGCAGTGAGTGAAAGTGGCTCCTACTCAGTAGCTGTGATTCCTTACACCAGCAAAGCTAGCTGTAGTGCTTTTCACTCAGCCTAGGCTTTCCATTTAACACATGGCACATGATGAATGGCCCGAGAGGCCATTGTCAAAGCAGTCTGTACACTTGGTGTTGAGAGCAAGCCTCTAATGGCTGGACACCAGTACTGTTCAAACTCCTTACTACTTTAATATACTTTCTAATATGCTTGAGATGTTAAGAAAACAACATGTGTGTCATTAATTTCTGATTTACACTACCTGTTGTTTGCAGGGACATGGGAGATGCAGTTCATAGGAGAAACAGTCATGGCCATGCACAGGGAAGGGACACATGCACCAAGCTGGTGGTGTTTATTACACAGCTGTACAGAAAGACTTAATAGGAGTAATGACTTTTCTCTGTAGAGAAATACAGAACATGCACTGTATAAAATGGCTGACATCAAATTATGATCTCATGAGGTGAGTTTCTGCCTTGAGGGAAAGCATGTGCCTACATAGGCATGGAGGAGCCTACTTTCCTTCTGTCAAGCTCTTGAGAGCTGTAAGAGCAGACTCACAACTGGTAACCTATTACAACAGCACCAGGGGTCTTTTCTAGCACTTTCCTAGCTCAGCATGCCATGATCTCTTCTACTGCGTGGAGTTACAACTGGAATAAATAATTATGGATTCTTAAATCTGTATGGGGACAGGGCACCAGCCAGGAATAAAAGTTTGGTTTTCAGCTCTTTACTGTACTATTTATGGTCTGAAAGTGAATGGTCTGGACTATTTGGTTCTAGTTTGCTCTGGTAGTCCTTCAGCAGGTCTGTTTCTCTGTGAGCCTTGGCTTATCTTATCTTGTCTCTGACTGTTGGAGGTTCTGTGAGGAAGCCTCAGCATTCTCTGCCAGGGTAAGACAATGACAACGTATGTTGTTCGCTGGAGCAGTCTTCACCATTTGCCCTGCACAGCACCTCTTCCCGTGATAGCTTCCTGGCCTAAGGCAGAATCAGGGGGGGCTTCTTTTGTTCTTGGAGCTGTGCTACTTCTTTGCTACCATTTCTTTGCTTTGCCTTGGCTTTCTGTGACAAACATCCCATCCAATAGCTGATGGCTGAGGTGTATGCCCCAGCAGTCTTCTTATAGAATTTGAGGTATCAATATATACCTGTTACTGGAGGGTAACAGGCTGAAAACAGTTACTTTTCAGCACTCTCTTGCAAATAAAAAGAAATATCCCCACACAAATTCTATTTTTTCCCTCAAGATGGAAACTTCCCAAGCCAAAACTAAAACTGAGCCGCAAGAAAAGCCATCTAGAGCTCCCTGCTCAAAGATACTTTACTTGTAGAGTATTAACTTAACAGTCTGGGGTGTGGTTTCTGCAACTCTGAGATCTAAAGGAAAAAGTTCAGCACCCTTACAACCAAATTACAGCCAGTAAAATGTAATGATGTGTAGAGAGCCTGACGACAGAATGGCTGCATGACAAAGGCCACGATACCGTGCAGCTAGTTAAGATCTAGGCCCCAACGGCATAGCGACCTTGTGGTTAAGGGTTGCTCAAAGACAGGATGCACATCCTGCTGATGGGGCACATTGCAGATAGCTACCAGAGCTGAAAGCAGAAGTGGTGGTGGTCGCCTAGAAACTTTTGCGTCAAACGTATCTAAGCCAATAAGCTTGTATACCTTTGCATATGTGTGTACCTGATTATGTGCGCTATAAATATAGATGTATCGCAATCAATAAACGAGACTTGCTGACCATGAGAGCATGAGGCTTGTCTTCCGCGACTCCAACAATGATGCTGACGTGATGCTTGTGTGAGTTTGTAGAGTAGAGCTAGAAACAGATCAAAGGTGAACCTGTTTCCAGAGCAGTATCTGCTCATCACACTGCTTCTACTAAAGCTGTTGCTAGCTTCCTGTTAGCAGAGTCTGCCTGGAACACTAAAGAGTACCAGAGTATCTCTATACCTAAAACCTGTTCCAACAAGTAATAAAGGTGTCAGTGTGCATTTAGTTCCCTGTGCCAACAGAACAAAAATGCCCAGCTCATAAGTAATTACATTATTTATTTACAACAAGCCTAGCCACACAAGGGGTTTTAAATAACACAAATAACTGCAGTGCTTTGTTTGAAATGCAAAAATGAATTAAGCCAGAAAGTATTGCCAGATACACATCCGGAGGACAAAAATGGTTGTGGCAAAGACTTTTTCTTTCAGAACAGCCAGTTCTGTGTCTGAAAAGTGCTTTCTCAAACTATGTACAACTCCAGGCACTTAATTTATGATAATAAAAATACAAAATGCCCCATCCCTGGCAGTATTGCAGGACAGGTTGGACAGGGCTTTGACAACCTGGTCTAGTAGAAGGTGACTGTGGGAGCAGGTTGGAACTGGATGAGCTTTAAGGTTTCTTCCAACCGAGACTGTCCTATGAAAATTCGGTAGCAGCAAAATATTTGAGTGAATCATCTTCTCAAAGTGCCTTTTCTTCCATAATGAAAATCTGAGCTCTGTCAGAGATGCAGCAATGGTACAGACTCCTCCTCCAGGCCCCTCAGATACCTGGGGCTCTGTTACTTCTGACAGGGTCAGAGCCAGAGTCAAGCTAAAGGTGAGAAATAAGCAGAAGAGCTTTCCAATCTCTCTTGTTTCCCAACAAGTTTGTTGAGGAAAAATAGTGCTCTGGGAGTTTTTAATAATTACCTTTTAATGTTCTTTTTAAAGCCTTTAAGTCATTATCTTAAAGAGCAACATCCAGTTCACTTTGCTAAATAAAAGCACTGAGATCATCTGTCACGCTGCCTTCCAGCTTCATAAACATTGAATATTACAGCAGCATTATTCAACTTGTTCCACCTTCTACTGTAAATCATCTTACGAGTGCTCTTCTTTTGACCAGAATACACACCAGAGTATTTTGGCTGTGGCAAATAAAACACTGGAATGGCATTTGGGCTCTGGGCTAAGAGCTCTGCAGATAACTCTCTCGTTCTTCCAGCTTTGGCAAAGGGATGTTACCTGATAGAGAACAGAAAGAAAGGTGTGAGATCAGCTGTTAAGTTACCTCTGGGTAGTACAACTTATCACAAAAGTGCATCTCCAGTTTGTTCTAAGCACTTCCTTATTACAAGCTAGTGCTTCTGCAAGTGAATGCAGCTATGGTGGGTTACATTCCTCAGGTTAAGTCAAGCAAGATTAAGAGGTTTTTATATGCAAGACAATACCTGGTGGGGCTACAAAATATTCTTCTACTTTCTCTCTGGCATTTTTCAGCAGCTCTTTTGTGCAGTTGCCCTCTGTAACATCATCTTCTCTGAGATACAGACACCTGAAAGGAGGAAATTCTTTCCTGTTAAGGTGGTGAGGCACTGGAATGGGTTGCCCAGGGAAGTTGTGAATGCTCCATCCCTGGCAGTATTCAAGAGGTTGGATGAAGCCTTGGGTGAGATGGTTTAGTGTGAGATGTCCCTGCCCATGGCAGGGGGGTTGGAACTGGATGATCTTAAGGTCCTTTCCAACCCTAACTATTCTATGATTCTATGAAGAACAAATATTACTGTCTTTTAGCTATTCTATATGAAGTAGGAAGCATGGCTTATCTCTAAACCTGGTTTTGGTCTTAAGCAAGCAGTAAGACAAGTATTGGAACATTCTAAAGCATAAGAATGCCACTGACAGCTATCTGGGAGCAGTACGTGCCAGTCGTTCATGCAGAGTAAGATGCACCAAGGACCTGGGAGTTTCTGTGCTCACACAAAAAGAGCAAAGGTGCCAATGACACCTGCCTTCCACATACCACCGGGGTAAGACTTGTGCGTAAGCAAAGGAGCCGAATGCACAACCACAGCCATTCCAGGGGGAAAATAACAAAGGGGTTACAACAGCAGACAGTTTGATGCGGTAACTGGTACAGGGAGGCTGCTGTGATTGATTCATCACCTGTCCTCCAGCACTGAATCCATCGGTTCTACGCCATCAGTGTTCACTTCATGAAGCTGATCAGCAAACTGGATCGCCTTCTGCAGCCGCTCCACACCCTCGGAGTCACGGAAATCCACCAAGGCCAAGTGTTCCAAGCGATCCAGCACGTCCACCGTCACCTTCTGCGGCACAAACACAGACAAAACCGACTCTGATACAGCGCTACTTCCCTTTTGTTAGTGGAGCTCTCGTTCCACGGCAAGCCCCGGTTACAGCCGCCGGGACACGCCGATTGCTTTCCTGGAACATCAATGGAGCTCGCGTTCTCTCTGCCGAACGAAGGGCAAACAGCGCGGGGCGCAGGAACCGCCCGGGGCCGCCTCCCTCGTCCCTCCCCTCCGGCTCCCCCCGCCCGAGCTGCCGTACCTGCGGGGAGCCCGGCGCGGGGCGGGCGCTCCCCGGTCCGCCCGACCGGGCCCGGACAGCGCCGCGGAGCCACCGGCTGAGCGCCAGCGCCCGCATAACGCCCTCCCGACGGCGGCCCGGTAACGTCACCGCACCGCGCCGGAAGCGTGTCAGAGCAGCGGCGCGGCGGGCCCGGTGCGGTGCCGGGGCTCGCCGCCGCGATGAACAGCGTCGGGGAGGCGTGCACCGAGCTGAAGCGCGAGTACGACCAGTGCTTCAACCGCTGGTTCGCCGACAAGTTCCTCAAGGGCGACAGCGCCGGCGACCCCTGCGGCCAGCTCTTCAAGCGCTACCAGCTCTGCGTGCAGGTGATGCCCGCCGCGCACCCGGTAACCCCCGGAGAAGCCGCCGCTCGGGATCTGCCCTTGTCTTCCGGTTCTGTCGGTCGTGACTCGCAGTGGTTCATGGGTTTCTGTTACTGGGTTTTTCTCGTTAATGAAACTTCCGGAGCCTGCTGGTTCCGAGGCTGTTTGTGTGACGGTATCCGGGCTACGTTTAGCGCCACAGCGGCATAAGGAGGATGCCGGAGACTCTTCATTAGGGACTGTAGTGAAAGAACAAGGCGTGATGGGTTTTAACTGAAACAAGGGAAGTTCAGGTTAGATGTAAAGAAGAAGTTGTTCGCTGTGAGGGTGCTGAGGCGCTGGCACAGGGTGCCCAGAGAAGCTGTGGCTGCCCCATCCCTGGCAGTGTTCAAGGCCAGGTTGGACACAGGGGCTTGGAGCAAGCTGCTCTAGTGGAAGGTGTCCCTGCCCGTGGCAGGGGTTGGAGTTGGATGAGCTTTAAGGTCCCTTCCAACCCAAACCAGTCTGTGACTCTATGAGTTCTCAGTACCTACTTGAACATCTCCACTATTGAAGCTTTATTCAAACCAAGCTTAAGACTACTTTCTATAGAATTTTTTTTCCACCAGAGATTATATTAGCACTATCAAGGT